GCGGTGGGCGAAGCCTGGCCTCCCGTGGGTCCCCCCCCCGTCGTCTCCACATGCAAGGGCATGGTGGGAGGAGGGGTCCCCTCCAAGCTTGGGGTATATGGGAGTAGAGAAGCAGTGCTACTCCCGGTGAACTTCCGTTTCCCCCCTTCAGTTCTGCCGTGGCCTCTGGCTCTCCCTCTCCGCTTCCCTCAAGCCCGTTCCGAAGCCCAGACTGGACCTGCCACTCATCTGCTCAGACTCACCAGTGGCGCCCGAGAGCCTACAGGATACAGCCTTGTTTCTTGGGCCCAAACTCTTGCTCCTGCCCTGCACTCAAGCCAGGGTGGACACACAGAACTTACCCTGCCCTCCCACCTGGAGAACACTGCCCATCCTTCAATCTCAGGCCAAGTGCCCCACCCCAAGGTCGCTTTGCCTTTCCCAGTAAAGCCATCCTATCCGTCCCTACCCACCACCCTGCCCCCTGGCATGGCTAAGCCCTGTGGCTGGGGGCTCAACGTCGAAAGAATTCTGGGGGCTTGCCACTCAGCCCCAAGCCCTGGTGCTGCTGAGAACGCCCTCCTCCTGGGACAGGGCAGGCTGACGGGCAGGTGGCAGCACTGGCGAGTAAGCTGGCCCCGGAGCCCCAGGGCAGGGATCTGGGGATGCGGTTGTCTCCACCTCACTCAGGGCGAGGACAGGAGGCCCAGGGGGGCACCTGCAGCAGCTGCTTCCTGTGCCTGGGGCAGCCGCCAAGCCCTCCTCGACGAGTGCCTGCCGGGCACACGGGCAGCCAGGCTCTCCCTGCCCTTGCTCTTGGCACTGGCCGCTGTTGCCCGGACAGGGGCCAGCACCCCGCTGGGACAGCATGGCCCTGGCAGTGGGTGTCCAGGCGAGAATGCCCCCCACTGGACGTAGAATCAGGGCCATCTCTCCCTCTGTGTCTGTCGCCTTTGCGGAGCTCCTCGGGGATGCTCCAAGCTTTGTCTTCCATCCAGGAGGCCCCTCCCGAGACTTCAGGGCAGCCGTTCACTCCTCTAAACAGAAGCTCAGACAGCGACACCCAGAGGCAGAGCCGCTCTGGTGATAGCAGGTCAGGGTCTGAGTGCAGCCCCTCATCCCTGGCTTCCAGCCAAGGGGCCACCTTAGCACAGCCTGGGGCTCCTGCTTAGAGCAGACTGGGAAACATGGTCTGGGCTCCCTGGCTACTTTCAACCCCTGGCAGGACAACCCCCATCCATCCAGCTGCCCCTCCTGGTTGCTCATTCGACATTTGCTGATTATCTTGTTGGGTGCCATGATGAACTGAGGTGAGTGGTACTTAGTAGAGAGAATACTTAGCAAAGTCTGTAGCAGGCGGGGGGGTGCTGGGTGAGTGGCGCTGTGCTCAACTGAATACTTGATATGCAAAGATAGAGCCCGTGAGATCTGTCTGCTGGCTCACAACACTCCCCTGCCCCCAGTTCTGTGGAGAAAGAGCCAACATCTGACCTCCAGGGCCCTTCCTAGCCCACCAGCGTCCACTTACACCAGGCCCTGTGCACCCTCACATACAGGAGAAGATGCCCAGACGTCACCAGGACCCTCTCCCTGAAAACTCCCGGAAAGCAGAGGTTCTGGGGAAGGTGGGTTTTATGCAGAAGACAACAGTCTGCTGACAAAAAGTCAGGCACAGGGGGTACTGGCTGCCAGTGTCACACTGTCCTCAACCTCCCCCAACACTTGCCACAGACAGACATGAGCCAGGTACAGAGCCCGGGGGCTGCTCACACACCATCCCACACACAGGATCCCTGGGCTCCTCACCCTGTCCTGGCTGCTCCACAGGCCAGACCTTCTCATCAGGACTGGCCCCCTGCGGTGAATTTGAGGGCCTTTTCTATTGCTCTGGGCTGACATCTGGGCCAGGGGCTGCCGCACAGACCGCACCGCTGGGATGCAGCTGCCCTTCCAGAATCCCCACAGGGGCTTGACAAATGGTTCTCTTTGGGTCCCTCACAGTGACCCCCAAGACCTTCGCTGTCCCAGAAGACCAATCCTATCCCAGGTGCAGGCCCTTCTGCAACTGCCAGGGGTCTCAGACCTTTCCCTGCCACACCTCCCCGCCCCCGAAACAGAAAGCCAAGGCTGCTCACTCCCTGTGCAGCCCCTCCACAGCGGAGCCAGCCTCGGAGCCAGAGAGAAGGAGCCAGGTGGAGCCAGGTGGAGGAAAAGAAGGGCGTGCCTGTACACACACACACACACACACACACACACACACGTGCATGTGCAAGCAGATGAAGGCAGCTGGCTGTCAGGGCTGGGAGTCAGAGGAGCCCAGAGTCTCATTTGCAGCCTCCTTTCTCAGGTCCCAGGGCGGCAGGGCTGAGGGCAGGTGTGGGAGGAGGCTTCTAGTCTCTTCTGTCTGTTGCCCGGGCTGAGAGAGGTACAGAGCCACCCTCTGTCCATTGCAGGCTGAGACCAAAAGCAGAGCCAGCCCCTTCCTCATCTGTCACCTGGCTTTGTTCCCCAAGATGCCAGGTTAGGCTAAACACATGGGCAAAGAGACCCCCACCTCTAGCACCCAGCAAAGCACCTGGGCCACCCCCCCCGGGTGGGCAGCCTGGCATCTCTCTCCCAGTTGGTGGCCAGGCCCCGTGTGCCACACAGATAACCCTGGAGAAGACCTCTGCCCTCCCCACCACCCCTGGCCACGCCGTCTCGGGCCAGGAAAGAGGATGGCACTCCCCCGCCCCTGCCCCCACCCCAGGAGAGTCAAGCTGGAGCACAGCTGACCAGGGGCGGTGGGAGGAGGGGGGGGGAGGAAGGGCTTTCATCAAAGAGGTGACGTCAAAACCAGGCCACTTGTGAAGCTGTCAGGGGCCGGGAAATTTGGACAAAGGTGTCTAAAAATAGACACCCTGGAGCCAGAAAAGGCTTTGGGGGCTGAGTTGCTCACCACCACACCACATGGCACGCATGCTGTTCGGAGGTCTGGAACCCAGAAAGCCTCTTCCCGGGGCGCCCCTCTGGACTGGCCCGTGGAGGGAGGGAGACACATGAAACTGGAGGCGTCACACCCAGCCCTTCCCTGGGTGAGCTGGGCGAGCCCCCTGCACCCCCAGGAGACACACTGACAGCCCTGGGCACTGAGGCCTCCCTCTCTGCCCTCACAACCAGCCAGCCCCCACCCCTTGCCCCATCTGCCCCTCGGCCTCAGCACCCACACACCGAAGCACCCACAACCCTGCCAGCACCCTCTGGCTCCCCTCAGCCTCCCTGTGCTGCTGCCCGACTACGCCAGCAGCCCTCCTGCTGCTTCTCTTCCTGACCTTGACCACCGAGGCCACGGCTGCAGACCCAGGGCCCCACTTACTCACTCCCAGTCCTGATGCTGGACTCTTGTGCCCCTGAGCCAGGGCCTCTCTGGGCTCCCATGTCCATCACCAAGGCCCTGTCCCTTTGCCCAAGCTGCTTGGGAACAACGTACAAGCTGCTAGAGCTCACATTCCCACTGACTTTCTTCTGTGCTGTAACCCAGCCACGCTGGCCCCACCCTCTGCGCAGCCTGTGCTGCCCCAGGGCGTCCCTTGGACAAGTGCTGCCGGCAGGTTCCTGGCCTTAAACATGCCCACCAGCCCTGCCCTCTCTGAGCTCCAGACTGCTCCCCCAACACAGCCCATAGTGCCGGCTGCCCCCTGAACCATGAACCCCCAGCTCTCCAGACTCTGTACAGCACCACCACACATGCGCCCCTCTGCCCAGGCCACAGGGGGCCCAGGCCTGGGACTCCTCCCACTCCTTCCCTCCCCAACATCCAGCCCACCCAAAGTCCATGTGTTACCCCCACCCCCAAAGAGATGGTAGATCTCCACCCTTTTGCCTCTCTACAGCCACAGTCTCAGTCTAAGCCCACCCACGCTAGTACTCACGGCAGCCCCAATGACCCTTGACTGGCCCCTGGCCCGGGGCCAGGACGGCCTGTTCGGCATGGCTTGGCTCAGGTCCTGTCACTCTCCTGCTGAAACACCGGGGTGACCTCACTGATGTCAGATCAGACCCACGCTCTCCCTCTGCTCTGCTTGGAACCCCTGCGCCCCTCCCGAGGGCTCTTCCAGGGCCTGCCCAAGAGGGCGCTCCTCCAAGGGCCTGTCCCTGACCCTCAATCCAAGCTGTGCCCAAGCCTGGCTCACCCGGTTCTCTCCTGGCACGAGTCCCGTCCTTGCCTGACGTGTGTGACCTGCCCTCACGCCTCACGGTGAACGACCCCTCACGCACCACATCTCACACCATGTCCAGCACAGCACCCCACACCCAGACATTCGGTCCACACAGCTGAGTACAGGAGACTGAATGGTCACTTCGAAGCCAAACTGGGGTCACTGCCCTTGGGGTCACCCAAGTTCACAAAATGTTTTAGAGAAAGAGAGGTGCAGAACAAGAAAAGTCAAAAAGGAAATCTCTGTGAGCAGAGAGCCCATCAGATCCCCAGGCAGCTGGTCCTCCTGCTCCTCAGAGCAGTCAGTCTGTGGCACTGCCCACTCGGATCGGGGGGCGGAAGGGCACGAGGCCTGACGCTGCCACCCCGGCCTGGGCTCAGGACCCAGGTACATGAGCCCGTGCAGAGCCAGGACCACAGCCGCCACATGCACACTGGGGGCCCACCAGCCGCTGGGAGCCTCAGGCCCTTGCTCTGCAGGCCTCTAGCACAGGGGGGCAGGGGGGCTGTCCATCTATCTGAGTCTGGAGTGGGGGCCGAGCCACGTCTCTGGTCCGAGCCAAAGCTGAACTGATTAGGCTGGGTTTCTGAACACGCGCCCTATGCCTGCATGAGAAGCTCCAGGGCCCACGCTCCCGTCTCCAGCCTCTGGCAGAGGCGCCGGCGGCTGCTGCCCATCCTCTGAGCCCCACAGGCACTTGTCCCACAAGAGCCCTGTGCAGCCTCCCAACAGCACCTCTCCCTCCCAGCCTGCTAAGCCCTCCCTGGCTGCATCCTCCCGCTCCCCGACACACACACACACACACACACACGCCTGGCTCACCTTGATGTAGGTGTCCAAGGCAGGATGAACACGGCGGGTAGCCAGCCAGATGGACAGGGCACTGGTGTAGGGGAAAGTGGCTGTGACCACATGGCTGGGTGCTGGGAAGGAGAACACTTTGAAGCCAAATTTCTGATAGAGCTGGAGGAGCTCTGGGCGGGGCGACTCCTCGCCTTCACTCAGAATGCTGCCCACTGCGCAGCGGCGCCTCTCGGGGGACACCTGCGAGGAAGAACGGGGTGTCTGTGTTAGGCAGAGGAAGGAGGCCCTCCAACCTCCTGCCTCCGGGGTTCTGTGCTGGCTCTCGGACCTGGTGGAACTGCCCACCCCAGACAGCAGAAAGCTGCCACTCTGGTGGCAGCTGCCACTCTGGTGGGGCCTCCCCATGGGCTCGGCCTGGGGTGCCCTGGTGCAGGGCTCCCCCATCCCTTCATTCATTCCTCTAACAACACACCAAGCCCCAGGCTGCCTGCACTGGGGCTGTAGGATAGAAGGTTGGGCTGAACCCTGGTTTGGGGAGGAAACCGTGAGAGGTCCTCTTCCCCATGCCCCAGGCAGGTCTGCCACCATCACCCAGGCCTCCTGACCACCCCTCCAGCCCGCACCCCACCCCAGGCCCTGCCCCTTCCCAGCTAAGCCAGAGACACAGGGTCCTTCCTGATCTCTCTGGATCCCTACAACTTGCGCTGCACTCTGCTCCCCTCCCTCCCCTGGCTCCCACAAAGCCCACCGGGTGGGGTGCCTCTGTGAGTCCCCAACATTTCCTAGGCCTGACCCCAGGCCTTTGAAGCCCAGCACCTGCTGCTCCTCCCAGTGGCAAGGGGCCCCAGTGGGTCTCACCTCCTGCCACCTGAGTCTGCACCAGCCCTTGGGCTGGGCCCCCAGAGGTACATGCTCCCGAATCAGAGTCACTGCAGACTTCAGTCCCGGACCTCCCTCCACGCCTGGACGCAGGGCCGACTGACCCTACACTGAAACCTCCTCTGTCCTCCCCTCAGCCCCCCTCACAGTGGAGTGGAGTCATTTTCACCAGTTCTTGCCTCTGCCCTTCCTCTGGCCTCTTTCAAGCCCCATCGACAGTCCCCTGGGCGTTTCTCAGCCCTGCTCTGCTCTTCACCCTGGCCATCCTAGACCTGTCCTCGGTGCTCCCCTCGCCTGGCACCTGGGCCCTGACTCCAGGCTCTCACCTGCATGCAGTCCCTGGGGTCACCCCAGCTTTCTGTGACTCTGGTCCCTTGCTGCCCCCTGAAAATCTTACGTCATTAAGCCTAGTTCAGGGCTTTAGTTGCCGGCAACATGGTACAGCGGTCAGAACCTCAACTCCTGGGAAAAGGCAGGTCCCGAGTCCTATGATTCTGGACCCCTCCCTTGGTTTCACGGAGTTCCTTGACACCCTTAGAGCACTGCCATATTCAATACTTTGCATGAGGCCTCTGCCTGGCCTGGGGACCACAAATGACCCCCGGCCTAGAATGCTCATCCACCCAAAGCTCTGAACACATAGCTCCTCCCTGCCCGTCCTTCATGTTCAAACATGCTCTTGGGGACCGTGTTAGGATGGCTCAGTGGCACCCCACCCCCAACACTGCGCTGTAACTCCTTCCCACAGGAAGTCAGCCTTGCAGCGAGGCCACTTCTCTGGCCTAAACGTGCCTCCTACCCGGCCAGAGGTGATGCAGTTCCACCTGTTGTCTCTAGATGGTGCCACTGCCTCACTCACGATGGACGACTTGGGGAAAGCCCCAAAGGCAGGTGGTTCTCACAGGGTCAGTACCAGCTGCAAAGCGCATCTTCACCTTCCTGACCCTAGCAACCTGGGCTGTACAACATAGGTGACATGCAATATGGATGGAAGGTCACTTCCTTTCCTCTCAACCAGGGCTGGGGTCCGAGGGTGTTTCCAGGGATGGATCACTCAGCAGTTCAACACCCTCCTCAGTCCCTAGGAGGCACCAGAAGACCGGTGACAATCCAGTTTACAACTCTCATGGCTCCCAGTTCACCCCTAGGATGAAAGCCCTGAGCCCAGCATGCCACGGCCTCTTCAGTGGCTCACCTGCCACTCTGCTTCTGCATCCCCAGGCTGGGTCTGAGTGGCAGAGGGAGGGACAAGCCAAAGCTCTGGCCCAGTCCGCTGGGCTGGCCATCTCTGCCACCACACCCCCCGCACAGGCCCACGAGGCAGTATCTGCAGCTCTCCAAACATGCCCTGCCCTGCTGAGCTTCCTGCCTTTGCGTAAGCTACTTCCTCTGCTGGAATGTCCTCCCTCAACCTACTCAGAGTCCCTTCTACCTGGGAAACTTCTGCCCACCTGGTAAGAGTCAGCTCACCTCTCCTCCTCAAAGCCTTCAATGGCCCCCCACCCAGCAGCCCTGCCTCTCCGACACCACAGGCCCACAGGGAGCAGGCTCTGGGCTGCACTGTCACTGATGCCCCCCCCCCACTGGAGGCCTCCGGCAGAAAGCCCAGGACCTTGCACACATGGGGTGTCCTTGTGACGTGCTCCGAGACAGTCCGTGTATGGGTAGATGCACACACACACACCTACCCTGGGGGCGAGCCTCCCCCGCCCCCTGCCTGGAGAGGGGAGGAGCTGCTGTCATAGAACAGGGGAGTAACTAACTAGGAGCTAGGCTCTAAGATCTGAGAGGTGTTTGGAGACCAGGTGATCCCTTCCTGCCTGAGCATCCTCTCAAGTCCACAAGAAGGGACACTTCCTGTGCCCTCCGCTGCTCTGGCCAGTGACAAGGGGGCATCCTAAGAGGTTGCTCAGCAAGCTTCCCTCCAGCTAAGCAGCCCCATACCAAGCTGGAGCTGGGAGGAAGCTGAACCAGACACCCTCAAGAAAATGAGACAGGCCAAGCTGGTCTGGGAGCAGAGGAAGGCTCTCCTGGGAACCTTCAGGGGAGTGGCCCACTGAGGCTGTAAAGGACCTGGAAGGTGGGAATGTTCTGCTGGCTAGAAACGCCCGCCCCCCCCATCTGAGTTTAATGCAACTTCTTTACTGGGGCCTGGCCTTAGGAGGTCAGCCTGGGCCTCCCAATGCCACCTGCCTGCTCCCTCCGCCCCCACCCCCAGGGCAGCCGATTCTCTGGGTACCCGTGTGCAGAGAAGCTGGACCAGCACTAGCACCAGCAACGAGCCGCACCAGGGAGACTGGCAGTGGTGACCCACCACAACTCTGGGCGAGGGCAGTCTCGCTCAGAGCCTGCCCTCAAGCGAGAACACCGGAGGGACCCCTCCTTGGGGCTGGGAGGCCCCGAGTCTGAGAACCACAGGTGAGACGGGGAGTGCACGCTGAGGTCCTGACTGGGGTCCAGCACTGCCAGGTGCCAGTTGGCCCCACCGCCCCTTCTGGAGAGGCCTTTCAGGACCCTGCTGACCCCACTGAGAGGCCACAGTGAAGAGGGTCCCTGTGTGGTCAAGACCTCACTGCATCTGGAAAGTAGACAAGACCCACTATCTTCCAAGAACCAGAAAGGGAAAACGGTGTCTGCCAGCACAGACCAAACCCAAGGTCCTGGGTTCAGCAGACGTGGCCAGCCTAACCAGCCCAGAGCTGCCCACGGTACGACGGGCAGGGTAGTGCCTGTCACTTGCACAGGTGCCCCTGGGGAGCACTTGCACAGACTGACTGATGCTCCTGGGTCCTGCAGGCCAAACCTTGTTGAGCAACTGGGGCCCAAAGGCACAGTGGGGCATGCTAGCGTCAGGGCGCAGGCAGTGCGGACCCCAGGCTGGAGGAGGGCCCTGTGCTTTAGGCAGGGGAGAGGGGTCAACAGGATGCCCACCTCCAAAGGTGGGTCCAGGTGCTTTCTGGAAGCTCCCACCTAGTGGTCTCCCAGCCTCCTTTTTTCACCCCCAAGTGTAACCCTAGCCCTAGCTGGGACCTGACAAGGTGCCCACCACCCACCCCAGTCGCTGCCGCCTGTGCATCAGCTCACTATCCAGATAGCACTGAGCAGTAAGCACTGCTACTAACTGTTTCTGAGACCCAGAGAGCAAAGTTATTCAGCAAAGGGTGCAGAGCAAGGCAGTGATGGAGTCAGGATTCAAACCCAGGCAGATCGGCTCCAGACCTGTGCCAAACAGCCCACGGCCACTTGGGAGCCCCAGAAATGGGCCCAGGCTAAGAATGGGAAGGCACAGTGCCCTCTCCCTATGCTGTGCCCCTTCATGGCCTAGGCAACCTTCAGGGCACCAGGCCAGGCGCAGGGTTCCTGAAAGTACAACATCCCAGGAAGCACAAGGCCCTATGAAGCTGAGTGGATTCCAGGAGTGCTAAGCATCTGTTAGGGGCTGGGTCTCATCCTCAGCGTCTAGTCCCCCTAAAAACCAAAAGCCCTGAGGTAGGGATTCTCACACCAAGTGATGCCTTGATTCAAACCCAAAGTCCTCTCGTCTTGGACCTCACCTCTCTTTCCTCCTGAGGGCAGCTCGCTGGGCAGAGAGGGACTTGCCCTTCCAGGGCTGCCCCACACAGCGAACTGGCTGCAGAGCAAAGGCCCACCTTCCACCTGAAGATCAACGAGGCAGAGGGGATGGCTGGAGGGGAGGGGGTGGCCAAGCCCTTGGGCACAACAGCCCAGCCCATGCTCCACCGGTACTGCAGGGTCCAACCTGCGAAATCCTACTCCCTCACTGCTTCCCAGGCTCCACACAACATCAGGGCCTCTGGGAAGGGCAGGGGCCCCCATGCCCCACTCACAGAAATTCTGACAGGCCTGGGCAGAACTCTTGCCAGTCCTGTCCCCTACTGATTAGGGAGCCCCAGGCTGCCTCTCAGTGGCCTGGGGAAGACAGGAGCGTCCGTGGTAGTCTCGTTGCAAATGGCAGAACCCAAGCACTGCCAGCTCCCCCTGCCCACTGATGCCCAAGGCCGATACCCCCTCGTAGGCCCCCACCAGGTACTGAGCCAGCCGCCCCGCCCTGCATGTCTCAGACAGGCTCCCCACGAGGGCAGGCAGGCCGATTGCTTAAGCCCCAAACACAGCAGCGGAGGTGGCAGCAGCAGAGGGTGTGGCCGGAGGTGGAGGGCCAGGCTGGCAAATAGGACAGACCAATAGACATGGTGACAGCAGCCCAGCCACTAGGGCCTGTCCACAGGCCAGAGCTGCAGGGTCGAGGGAGGCACTCAGGGTCCTTCCAGCTCCTCCTCCCTCTCCTGTACCTAAGACATCCAGCCAGGCTGAGGGCACAGAACATATGACCCTATTCTAGCTACACAGGGACAGTGCTCACACTATGAGGCACTGCCGGGGTCTGTCCATGTCCTGCCACGTGCTCCTCCCCTCCCCGTCTCCCCCCCACCAGGGCCCTCAGGGGTGGAGAGGAGCATCTTCCTCCTGCTCCATAAGAACCATGTGCTCCGACCTTGCAGCCTCCTCCCACCAAGAACTCCAGGACATGGGGCTGACTGACATACAAGCAATAACCTACCTATCCACCTACCTATATCTAGGGTACAGGGGCTCAAGCAGCCTCCAATGGGAGCGTGTCCACAGCCATTGCCACGATCTTGCCTCAATGGTGCCTTTCCTGAGTCACTTCCTGTGCACACAGCTGGCCCAGGTGAGGCCTCACCGGGCCTTTCTCAGGAAGTAGCCTCGACCTGGCCAGCTGAGCTAGGAGCTGAGGCTAGGGGTGTGCCCACTCATGGGGCGAGCAGGTCCATAGCAGGTGGCCAGCTCTCTGCTGGTCACTCACTGCTCTACTGGCTGAGGCTGAAAGGGCCTCACTGCCTTCCACACTCACAGAGATGCAGCTGCTGGCTCCCACTGTGCAGAGCTGGGGAGGGGAGAGAATAGGGGAGGTTCCAACAACTCATCCGATAGCCCATCCCTTCCTTCGTGAACCACAGTGTGGCCCCATGTGGCCACTGCTGGGGGTGGCAGCCTTGGGAGCACCAGGCCTGGCTTCTCAGGCTCCCTCAGGCCTGAATGGGGCCTCTCCCCCCTGGCACCCCCATACTGAGAGCTGGGGTCTAAGGGCTGGGCTCCTCGGTTTGCACAGGGCCCCAGGATCCAGCACAGAGAGGTGCAGGTATTCACCGGACAGAAACAAACATGAACGTGTGAACTGTGTGACATGGGGACCCCACTCCTGCTATCTGACCTGCTGGCCCTTCCTCCAGGGGCCTCACGGAGGATGGCCATGGCCACCGGGAGGGCCAGGCAGGGAGTGTGCTGGCCAGCTCCCAGAGTGGGCGGCAGTAAGCATTCCTGACACATCCAGGGGTTCAGGGTGTGACCCAACTCTGAATGGGGACACAGGTGTCTTCCGGAGTGACCCAGAACCCGGAGGGACAGGATCAGAGGGGCCACGTTTACCTACTCAGCCACCCTCTGTGTGGCCAAGCGTCCACGGCCAGGCCCTGAGTTCAGGCCTGGGTCACCAGCACTCAGCCGAACCCGCCCGCACACCTCAGCAGCTTGAGTGTCTTTTCCCCCCTTTTTGTCGTGGCTGTTAAATGTCCATGGAGAAGCAGGTGCGGGTGAGGGCCTCATCCATGTCACTTAATTTAACCCTGGCCGGCCTACCGATGAAGCAGGCATTTTAACACTACCCTGCAGATGAGGAACTGGAGGCTCGGTGAGGTGATATGCCCAAACTCACACAGCAGGACAGTGCAGAGACAGGTCCAGAACCCCAAAATGCCGGCCTTGAGGTTGCAGGCCCAGGCTGAACTCGCAGCCATGGTCCCCAAACTGGCACCCCAGTCAGGCCTGCCTAGCCAACCCTGGTGGCCCACAGGCTCTGTGAGAGCTCCCCGTGCCGGGGTTCTTCCATCTCACTTTTCCCTGGACCAGCCTCCAGCACCGACCCCCATCCTCCCCGGGGCACCCATCGCCTTTTGCGTCCAGGAATTAGCACCTCCAACCCATGAGGCTACATGCTGCTTTGGGACCGGGACCAGGCAGACTGACCGGCGAGGAACAAAGAGGCTGTGAGGATGTTCCTCCCTCTCCCTGAGCCTTTCAGAGGACTCCAACTGGGCAGGTGTGGCAGGAGGGGCAGGGACTTACACAGGAGACCCCCACGGGGCGGTGTGTCGGGTGTCATGTCCAGGAGCTTCCCACAAGCCTGCCCCATCTCACTGGGGTCCCAGGGCTTTTGACCCTTAGTGCTGTCTCCCAGCCATGTGACCTCAAAACCTTGATGTCTATTATCCCTCAGACAGGCGACATCACCTCTCACAGGTCCCCGTCCAATATCATCAACGGCCTCTCTGCCTCATGTCCCGCCCTCCTCCACCTGCCATCCAGGCAGCTTCCTGAACAGCAGGTACCAATTGTGCTGCACCTTCCCTCCCAACCTGCTGTACCTCCCACTGCCTGGCCCTGTGACCCTTCTACCTCATTCTCCACCCACTGAAGGGCCCCTGGCCACACTTCTCCTGTTGCCCTGTATCTGCAGGCTTTGGCTGCTGAGGTTCCCTTAGCCAGGAGGCCCTCCTGGGCACAGCAAAATTCTGCTCGTGGCAGAAAGCCCAGCTGAGATCTATCTTGGAGCCTCCCCAGCAGACCTGCGGCGCCCTCCTCCAAACCCGCAGCTCAGAGTTCTGTGGGCACTGAGCAGGGCACCTCGCTGGAGACGCATCTGTGTGGGGCTGACTTGCCAACCACAGGAAGCTTCCTGAGGGTGGGGCCACGTCTGCTCCTCTCCAGAGTGCAGGTGTCAAGCAGCACCCAGCACAGAGAGGCAGTCAGCACACCCATTTGGACGGAATGCCCCAGGGAGGCCTGATCAGGAGACAATGGGTAGGCTAGAGGCCTTGCCCACGTGAGCTCACCAGGTGAGGACACCAGAGCCAGGGATTCCAAATGCCTGGTTTGCCAAGGCTCAAGGCTGGAGGCTGAAGAACCCTTTGCAGAGCTGCCAGCCCGTGCAGCTGAGGGCAGCACCGCCCAGGGCATGGCAAGAGGCCACATTGGTGAGCCCTGACTCACTACAGGTCGTAAGTCCCACCAGACGCCCACAGGTGCCAGTGATGCTGGGTTGGTTTCTGAGCCCAGCATCTCAGACATTCTGGGCAGCTTACTTGGCTCCACTTGCCTCCCGAGGCCTCCTCCAAGCCAGGCAGCTTGACGTCCAAAGTAATGCCTGACAACTGGGCCAGGGATCGCAGATTGGCTGGAGGGCTGGGACTCCAAGTCTCATGCCCAGGGCCTCCGCTCTCAGCCCTGGGGAAGCTGCCACCGCAGCAGAGCGCCGAGCGAGGGAAGGCACTGAGGTAACATGCTATGGCCCCAAACACAGGGCAGGATCCAAAAGGCCTGGGCTCAGAGCACTGGCTTCATATGGGGATGGAAGAGGGAGGGACGAGGAGAGGAGGCAGGATGCCAAAGCCCAGGCAGAGGCTAGGGACTCACAGTGGTCTGGTCCCCTGCACTCAGAGGTCCTTGGGTAGCCCTGACCCAGGGGGATCAGACCTGAGCGAGGAGCAAACCAGCACATACTCCTACAAGGGAACAGAAGCCCAGGCTACGCCGGGAGGGAGCTTAGAGTTCAGAGAAGAGGTGGTTTGCAGGGCCAGCTCAGGTTTTCCCACCACTTCTTTAGAAACCCAAATGCCCCTAACCCAACAAGTCCTGCCCCATGTCCACCCAAGGGGCAGAAGTACAGCCCGGGCCAGAGGGCTCCTTACCAGGTGTGGGTTGTCGTAGTAGACGGCGATGGAGCGCAGTCTGGGGCAGACACTGTAGCTCTCCGTGAAAAGCCGCCCCGTCTCACTGTAAGGCCCCACGTGGAACTTGTAGGCCACAGTGACGTTGCGGATGGGGGGTGAGCCGGCACTCACTGCCACCCCAGCCAGCAGGCCCGAGTGCCTGGCAAAGGCCAGCAGCGTCAGCAGCAGCAGCAGAGCCAGGCCCCCAATGAGGCCTAGGAGTAGCAGTTCCGACATGGCTCTGTGCCCCCAACGCCGCACCCCAAGGCAGCTGCAAAGGAGACAGGAGAGATGGGAGGCTGGTAGCCTGCCCTGACCAAGGTGCCCACCTGCCCGCCAGCCAGTTCTGGCCCAACCTCAGCCCTGCCCTGGGTGCTCTGACCCAGGAGGAGTGGCCAGAGGTGTTTACACACAGAGTGACCTAGAAGGGATCTACAAAGGATGACTGAAGCCACAGGCCTCCTTATTTCTTAACCACAATAACTGAGGCTCTCAGAGCTGCTCTGCCAGTCTGCTGGCAGCCTTCATCCCACCTAGGGAAACTGAGTCATGGAGGGTACAAGAGTGAGTCAGCCAGGGACAGATTCCCAGCCCTGACCAGCTTCCCCTGGGATGGACCAGCTGTCAGTTTGCCCCCCCTCCACCCCTCCCTCTCTTCCTTCCCAGAGCTAAGGCCCACACCTGCCCAGCCTCCCCAAGCCTGGAGGACCGCTGCCAGGGGAGGACAAGCCAGTGCCAGAGGACACACACTCACCGACAAGCTGGGAGACACCAGGGGGAAGCAAAACACCGGGGAGAAATGTGCTGGAGGAAGAGACTCACAGGAAACTCTCCTGGGCTAAGCACATGTGGCCCCAGGAGTCTTGCTATCCAGCAACCTCACCCACCCAGAAGCAGAGGAGACCAGACCAAAACAGGAACAAAGTCCAGCGCTACACTTCCCAGACTGGAGCCACTTCATCCCACTTTTTCAGCCCATAGAATAGACAGCGAGAAGGAGAGAGAGGCTGCTCGAAGTGGAGACACAACAGGGGGAGAAGTAACTTACTCATTCCGGGCCTGAGTGTCTCATCCCGGCAGGGGTGAGACGCGGCTGTCTAAGGCAGGGGGCTGGCCTGAGGGCGGAGGGACTGCACCTGGGGTCCACTTGCTGGCTGGCCCCTTCCCACCCCAACAGCTCCAGGTGTGTTGAATTCAGTCGTGGTTTTGATCTCTTCACCCCACCTCCTGCTCTAGGCAGTTCCAGAAAAGCATCCTTTTTCCCTTTTGTGTGTGTCGTTTACCTCTCAAGTCTGTGTCCTCCCCACTGGCCTTTCCTGTTCCTCCTATTCATACAGTACAAAGAATAAAGACATGCATTTCTGGGGTGGGGGGGGTGGGGGAGAAGCAGCAGCAGCAGCAGCAGCAGCAGCAGCAAAGACACTACCCAGGAACAGGCCCAGGGACACAACACAAGACAGAAGCTGGTGGGCTGAGCCCTTGGGGCAGAGCCTGGGGCAGAGGCTGACCCTCACTTGGAGGGCTGGGGTGGGAGCCCAGGAGAAGCCTGTTTAAAAAGAAGGGGGAGCATAGGACCCCAACTATTTAAAATGTAAAAGTTTTGGGAGCTGAAGGTCAACACTTCAGCCTGGTGGAAAACTTCGCCCTATGGAGTCATTTGTTCCATGTGGGTCCTGTGCGTTGAAATTTTTTTGCCAAAATACTCTCTTTGGAGACAATGTGCACACAGCGGTGCTGGACGCTGAGGTGTCTCCCGGCCTTTGCCCCACCGTGTCCCTGCCCCAGTACCTTTGACTGGACTCACTCCCTGCCTTCGCTTAGTTTCACTCCTATTTCCTCCCATGATGATGATGACGATGATGATGAGGAGGACGATGATGGCTCTCTCATTAAGGACTGACTACATTCCACACATCGTCTAAACGCTGAAATGCAGCTACTTCATTCGTCCTCAGAACAAGGCAGATACGGGTCAGGAAGCAAGTGGTTTGAAGTTGAGACTAGCCCAAGGTCACGCAGGTCCTGAGCAGACATGACCAACATGCAGGCAAAGGGAACCCAGGGAGTCTGATCCCAGGCCCCCCTTTCCTCTTTCTCTCTCCTCCCTCATGACAGGGTTTTGAGAAAAGCCCACATGTTGCACCCCATTGGACTTCTCTGAAGTCAGGGCTCCCAGCTGGAAGCTCTGGGTGTCTAGGTCTCCCAGATGCCTGGGGAGTGACCTGCCCTCTCTCTGATCTGCCAGTCTGGGATGCACACTCCCTGTCCCCTCAAAGGAACCTAGCTCCCGTCTTTCTCTTCCTCTCATCCCAAGTCTCAGGAAAGGGGGGAAATAAAGCTGAGGGCTCAGAGCTCCCCCATACTCAACAGTGAGGGGAAGAGGGCTGGGGCAGCTCACCTGAAAAGCCAGGCTCACTTTTAGCAACTCATGGTGTTCAGGGCAGCAGGGACTAGGTGTTCCAAGTGCTCCAGCGCTGGGGGCGGAAAAAAGACAAACACTGAGCCGGGCACTTGCCCCCCTCCCCGGGCCTCTATAAGAACTGCCTCTCATCACAAGGTCGCCCCCTCACCACATCCTCATTCCCCTTGGGGAAATCAAAAGCCAAACTCGGCCTCACCAAGGCAGCTCTTCAGCCCTGATCTTAGACAGTCCTCTTCTTCCAGGAGGGCTCTAGCTACCACACCTGGCCCCGGAACAGCCCCTACTGCTGACCATGGGCACGCGAGGCGCCCTCTCGAGCCTCCGGGGCGGTCGCCTCCAGCTGGTCCCTCGAGCGTCAGGGCGGCAGTCTCGCTGGCTTCCTGGAGCCGCTCACGTGCGGCAGGCTGGCCCTTAAAGGGCCCCGCGACAAGCACCAGCGGGGAGGGGACACCGCCTCCCAGCCCGGACTCCCACCCCTGCTAAGGCGCCGTCCATTCACCCAGTCCCTTTCTCTTCAGCCAAGATAGCAACTTCAGGGACGCTAAAGTTTGCAGCCCGGCTTGAGGCACGGCCTCAGGGGACGGGGGCGGAGTTAAAGTGCAGCTCCGCCTCCGTTCCCCGCACCCTACCCCTCCGTCTCAATTGCCCCGGGACCAGCCACGCACCCGTGGCCGAGGCCGGAGGAAGCCGGGGGTGGTAGGGCTGGTCCAACGTTCAGGCCCTCGGACCCGGTCGGGGCAAGTGGCGGGCGGGTCGAGATGCAAAGAGAAGCCTGGGCCGCGGGGGACCCTGAGGCCGCGCCTGGGCGGACAGAGTCCCCAGACACTCGGGGCGCGTGAGGCTGTCCCGGCAGGTACGCTTCTCCTCCGACCCGGCCCTCACCTCCGCGGCTACCCGCCGGGGACGCCAACTCGCGCAGGCGGCTCCGGGTCAGTCTCGGAGCCTGCGCGCACCCGGCGCACGCTCGCCCCGCCCCCTCTCGCGGCGGGACGTGGCCGAGGTTGTGGGCGCGTGCGCGGGACCCAAAAGGCGCGGCCTGCCCCGCCCCGTCTCCATGGCAACGAGTGTGCGTCTATTTTTCCCGCCCCCCGCCCCCGCCAGCTGTCAGGGGCAGACCCCACCAGGCACCTTCCTGCTTCCCACCCACTTCTGGAATGAGGACCCCCTGGCATCTGGGTTGGCAAGAGCACCACGACTGCACAGCCCTGGCGTGAAGGACGGTCCACCTGACGGCCGGCGAGGGAGAGCCAGGCTGGGGTCCAGGAAGTCAGCGCCAGAGGAGAGCGTTTGCTGAGGTCTACGGCATTTGCGCAGTTGGTTGGCGGCTCTGCCACTTGCTCTCACTGAGGCTTCGCGACAGACTTGGGAACAGAACAAGGCAGGGCCGCTTGCTCCCGTTTTACAGTTGAGGAAACTGAAGCCAATCTGGGCTCCAGGAAGGAGCTAGTGGATCCAACCTGTGGACAGTCTGGATGCCAGCGGCCCACCTCCAATACTGCACTGAACTTCACCCCTACCCAGAGCCCAGGGGTGATCAACCAGCCAGCCAGCCAGCCAGCCAGCTGGACAGTGCTAGGGGCTGAGGATACTGAGGGGACAAAACCAAGGCCCCGTCCACCAGGGGCTCACCCCGGGAACCCCCTTCCCAGGCTCCTATCTCAGGGCCCTCTAGCTTAGCATACACCAGGCAACTCCCAGGTCAAGTGGGAGCCCCTCGGAGACAAGTCCAATCTTCAGTTCCTGTTTCTGAGGACCAACAAGCAACAAAGCACCCTTCCAGGGCCCCGAGAGACCCCGTCTTGCAGTGGAGGCACATCTTGCTGGGCCAGGAGGTACCTGGATGCCCGCGGCATGGAGGATGGATGGATGCCTGGGAGGGCAGCCATCTCACTGCGTACCCCACGGCTGCACTAGCAAAGGGCCCTTGCACTCCTGGCTTCCCTTCCCCCAGCTGCACTGGGTTCCCTCTAGGGGCAGGGAAGCTAGAACCTCCTGTACAGGGCCACGCCCATCCCAGGCCTCTCGGCAAATGCAGAAGAAACAGCCGGCACCTCGCAGTACCTCGGGGCTACTCTGCTTTGCTTGGTAACATGGGGCATACCACTGTCAAACGCTGTGGGTGTCCTAGACAAGTGGGTTGTGCACTCGGAAGCAAGTATTTCCTGTGAGAGGAGGAAGGGCCTTGGCTAATAGCGCCTTCGCCTGCAGGGTCCGCAGGTCAGTTCTGCTTCTCAGAAGCTCAAGAACTTCTCCCAGGAAACCAGTGTCTGGAGCTGCCCTCACCTTATCTTGTTTGCTCTGCTCACTTCCTTTAGCCTGGTTGGGGAACTCCAGGGCCCCACATCAGAGTTGAGGGTGTGCCTTAGTGGCTTCAGCACCGCTGTCTGTCGTCAGAGGAGTCTGCCTGTGACCCGGCTTGCAAGCCTTCAGCCTCCCTGGCAGCATCTCAGGCTCCCACCAGGGCAAGCCCCGCCCCTGGTAGGGTCCATGCAAAGCCTCCGCTGGCCACCAGGAGGCAGCAGCGAGGGCATGCTCGTCTCGTGGTCCCGGCGTCTAAGCTTAAGCAGACCAGCTCTCCTAGAACCCTCCGCCTCCCCGACCCCGTGCTCGAACCCCAGTCCTATATCCCATTAGCATACGTTCCCTCTCCCTCACGAGCCCGCATCTGGCCTTTGCCTCCCGCTTTCCTCTGTCCAAGTACCCCATAGGCTCTTGAATTCTCCCTTAGTAAATTTCCAGAGAAAGTTTCCCCAGGGCACCCCTTAAGGGAACCGAAGCGGACACGCCCCTCCTTGCTCTAGCCCCTCACGTGGCAAAGTCCTGGTTAGCTCTCTAGGACGCAGTGGTTACATCCTCCAACTTGGCTGCCAAGGGCAGAACACAAGCAGTGTGCATAAGATGCTCTGCAAACCCTGCCGGCAGCTATGACTGCACCCAATATCCAGCCACTCAGGGCGTAGTCAGGGCTGCCCCTGAAGGATGGGCCATGACTGAGGACCAGCTAGCCTCGTCACCCCAACTCAGCTTCACTCTTCCCTCTGGAGCCTGGAAAGGCAGTCCCCTTCAGGCAAGCAAAGGCAGGTGGCGGCCAGTGAACCACAGCGAGGCCAAGCCCCAGCCACTGGCCTGCCCTCTGTTCCCACCCGCCCCCCCCCACCCGACAAGTGCCACCCCACTATGCTCTAAGTTATATCCCTTTCGCCACCACCAGCCAAACAGCTGTGCACACAATTCCTTGATCAAACAACACTGCCTTCTTGAGTTTAAATTTTATTTTACAAAAAGAGAAATAAAGAAAACTGATAGGCAGTTATACTGACTTACAATTGTTCTGTTTGCTTTTTTTAAAAAAGTGACATGAAACACAAGTAAAAATAAATACGTCATAGAAACAGCCAGTTGCCCAGTCTCTGGGGCAGGAGCACCTGCCCTGCTGAGAGAGGAGGGAAGCCCTGACCACACCAGCAGCTGGAGCACCAGCCACCAGTGCTCCTCAAAGCCAGGTGCAGGTCCCAGGCCTCAGGGGGCGTCCTGAGGAAAGAAGACGGAAAACCGAAGCCAGGTGCCAGGTCCCTGGGGCCACCTCATCTCCCCCTATTCCTCTGGCAGCAATGTGGCCTTAGTGGTTATCCACTGCGACCCCTCAACCCACCCAGACCCCCTTTCCCTGACCCCCCTGGAGAGGGTACAGGGAAAAACCAGTCTTGAGCAGGCTAAGGGGATTCTTCTGGTGAGTCCTCAACCCACCCTGAGTAACACAACCAGACAACAGTAAGTTTACACTCATGTGCACATGAGCAGGCATGTGCATGTGCATGCACACACACACCTGGGCTGAGCTCTCTTCCAGGGGAGGGTCCTGGATCAGGTCACAGTATGAGGTCCCCCCTCTTCCACACATTACCCCAGTAGTGGTAACAGAGAGCACCCACATCTCCCCCGGCCTCTGCCCTACAGACTCTGCAGCCTGCTTGGCCACCTCTCCCCAGGGCACCAGGTTACCAGAGCAACAGGCCCACCAGAGAGGAAAGCGGCAGACTCAGGTCCCTGAAGAGCAAAGAAGTTAGATGCTGCCTGCTTAGGAAGTTCATCGTAAGACGTGGGTATTCATAAAAGGCCCAGGGCCAAGCTAGTGGCACAGACAGACATGAAGAGGTGACAGTGGAATACACAGGGAGGAAGAAAAGCGTCAATAGGAAGGGAATGGAGTCTGGGTGACAAATGGAGAGTGAAGCATTCTCAGACAGGCCTTGGGGTATGGGTTCCCTGGGAAGTCGGCAGAGGGCCAGGAAGTCTCCTGGGGGTCCACTGGGGACAGGAACTTCTCTCTCAGGAGTTTGGGTTGGAGAAGAGCCACTCAGCTGGGTGTATAGGTGGCCATGGCTCAGAAGTGACAGACTGGTCTTCTGAGGAGTCATAGGGGAGTAGGAAACAGGAGGGATGGGGTCATGGCCAGGAACACAGAAGGAGGAATGTAAAGCCCCCAGAAGACCGTCCACATGGGATGAGGACTCAGTTCCAGAGCAGCACCAGGCTCACACAGACTGAAGCAGAGGACCTCGCTCTGCTGACAGCTTTGGGAGTGACCAGCCCGCCCGGATGGCTCAAGTTTGGTTGAGTGTTTCAATCTATCTGCGAAACCTCACCCTTGCTTTGCTTCGGGCCCTGGAGTGGGGAATTCCATATTTAGTCATGGATCACGCCATATGAATTTCATAACTAACGTCTAGGGAAGACAGTCCCAGGTGCAGCGGGAGTTATCCTGAAGTCAGGAGATGATCAGAGAGAGACCTATGCACAACCCCAGAGGGTGAGAACTAGCAAATACCCAGTCTGGAGAAACAGATCTGATCCAACTTGGTTCACTCACTTCCTTGCTTAAGTGGCTACTCTGTCTAATTTTTATCCACAAAGATACTAAGAAAAGGAAATCAAACATCACTACAAATGGTAATCCTGAATTATTAAGTTGTACTATGTTCCCTAGGCTGAGGATTTAGGCTACACCAGTCAGATGGGGCTTGAGAAGCCTTTGAAAACTTTCTGTGGAAGATGTGGGGGAAATACCCAGGCCTGATCTCCTTCCATCGCCTTGCACCACTGTCCTGCCCTCATGTGGGCCTGGGGGGCTGCAGGAAGCCACTACCAAGTCCTTCTGACCAAAGGCCCTTCGAATAGGGTTCTTGGGCTGGGAGACACTTCCTGCCCCTCCCGCAAAGGCCCTGGTCCGGTGCATACATGCACTACCTACCTGCACACAGGCAGAGACAGCAGAGAAGTTAGGGAAGGGTTTCCATGTTCCTTAAAGAACAACATGGAACCCCAGAACTGATGGCACTCCGATTTTCCCAGATCCTACCCCCACCTGCCTAGAGTGGAGCTGCACACATCACCTGGAGCCTTCTCTGCCTCCCACACTACGGCCTCTCCCAAGTCAAAGCAAGACCCAGCTCCTGGCATCACCACACCGAGAGCAGGCGTGCGCTGCCCTCAGAATGCCCATCCACTTCCTGGTGTCTTTCAAAGCCTATCCCTCTGGTGACTGGTTTCAATTCCATGCTGGTCCGGATTCTCAGAGCCTGCTGCTGAGATTGTCTAGAGGTGCACACAGAAATACCCCTCCTTCCCCAATCACACGTGCACACACGCACGTGCACGAGTGCACACAGGCGCCTGGGACCCCAGTGCTCCGGGGCCTTGGAGGCGTCTGCTGTAGCCCAGGCGGCAAGTGAGCTCTGTATGCTGGAGACCCAGCCTAGCTCGCTGCTACAGCACCAGCCTCACCCTGAAAGCCCACGCCAACCGAGTCCCTTCACCATCCAATCTTGGGCTGCATCTGAAAGAGAAAGCACTGGTTGGAACGGCTATTTTTAAATTATCAAAGTAATTTGCATAGCTAAGTTGTAGATCTAAGGCTTCTATGAAGAGGAGAATTAAGAGTCTGACAGGGTGCTCATGGAAACAGAGGAAAAAGCGCCGTTAAGTCCCACTTCCAGTGACTGGGCAGCACGCGCACACACACGCACACAAGCACATAGCCCCGATGGCCACCTCCTGGTCTCTTCCCTGGGGACCACACCCAGAGTGTGTAAAGCCCTCCAGCAATGACCAGGAGCTGGTGGAAAGGTCGCAGAAGCAGCTACTGTGAGCGGCAACCTAAGCCTCCTTCAGGGCTGGGAAGACGCAGGGGCAGCAGCTGCCCAGTGAGTGGGACTCACAGGTGGGCAGCGAAGCTCTGCAGACAGACAAGGTTAGTGCATCACCAAGCAATGCCTCCCTGCAGAGTTTCGGTTGTCGGGGTGGAGGGCAGGCGGGGAATCAAGAGGCAGCCAGTGTTAGATGCCCCCTTCCCTGGCACTGGCATCGAGAGGGGCTAGATCCAGAATGGCTGCTGTGTTCTTTTAAGACAAAAGCCAGACTTAAGGCTCCTATAGAGGAAGGGATCCTCCATGTTCCTTCAAAATGGGAGAAGGTAGCAGACATTGGGTCCACACCAGTCATCTGATAGGCCCAATAGGAAATCAATGGTTTGTCCCATCAACACAGCAGCCACCTGTACACGACACAGAGAGCCTGCCTCTAAGGTCGTCGAAGGAGGACTCAGCTCCAAACTTGGGGTGACTACTTACTTTCTAATAGCAAACTCCGTGACCCCCAGTTCCGGGCTCTGTGGCACGAGTCTCACACCCGCCCATTCTCCAGGTCGTCACAGGCTCCCTGGCTTTCCTGAAAGGCCGTTTCCTGGACACAGCTGTTCAGGGCAGGCTCTTGTCAAGCCTCGTACTCCCGCCTCAGTCAGCTCGCCACCCACGGGGATTTACACACCAGCAGCTAGGGGGTCTGGACTACCTTCAAACGGCCCTTCCCATCTCCTACCTAATTCCCTACCCCAACCCCCCACCTAAAAAAAAAAGACACATGAAAAAGTCCAAGTAATAAATAATTGCCCGTAAGAAATAAATTAACATGGAGCTCCCTAACAGGGAAGGACAGGACAGGAAAGGCCACCAGGACAGGCAATTGGGGGCTCAGCCTCATCCTTGAGAAGCATGTCTTTTTGCGGCACTGCCGTGGTCTCACTCACGCCGTGCGGGGCCCCTTCTGCCCAGCCTGCACCAGTGTCTCACGGCCTGGAAGGGGGTCCAGCTCCGAGACAGCCGGGGGAGGAGGTGGAGATTGCTGACGCCCACTTTCTTTCACCACTTCCCCCGAATTCTACGGTGAACGTGCCTCTGAAAACCTGGGACATGGTTTTCAGGCCTGTCTCGCCCAGCTGGAAGGAAGCTGGTCGTTTCCACGGCTCTTCTCCTGGGCTCACCTGGATGTTTACACTAAGAGTTGCCTGGAACCACCACACTCTGATTTCCATTTTTAAAGCGATAAATTCATTTTTAGTTTCCCCTTATCCATCCATCCTTCCCTCCCTCCCTCCCTCCCCCCTTTGCCCCTGCTGTTACGTACACACACGCACACATATGAACACACACGCATGAGCACACACACCCGGTCTGCTTCTTTCCCACCCCTAAGAGGACTCCACTTCCCACGGAATCTCGGTCGGCTCTCCCTGCCCACCCTCCTTCCTTACCCTCCGCCCCTCTCCCCTCCCCTCCCCAGGCCAAGCTAAGTCACCAGGTAAGGCAGGTCTCTTGGGAGGGGATGTTCCCAAAAACAGAAACGGGACGTGAGCATCTACACTCTGACAGGCAGGCAAGCAAGCGAGCAGACGGCTAAGCAAGGCAGGCAGCGGAGGAGAGGCAGGCCGCCCGGCCCCGAGGTCCTTGTTTGGGTCCCTGACTCCCCGCTGCTGCTGTGCCACTGGGGTTGTCGCCTCTTCTGTCAAACTGCACCAGAGCTCTGCCACTGCGCTCAGCCGCCTTCTTTGTCCCCTTCCCGCTCCCTCCTGCCAAGCACCCTCTTCTCAGAAAGCCCAGATCACTGCCTTCCAGCTGGTGGGTACCTGTTGGGGGCCCGAGTGAGGTGCAGAGGGGCTCCCCAGCTATTTCCCGGTGACCTCTATCACATCATCGTCCTTGTCCTCATCGTCATTGGAGCTGAACCCCACCTCAGCAACCTCATGAGAGTCAAATGGAGGCACCCGGGACGGGAGGAGCCCGCCCGCTGGGTAGCCTGTGTGTGAGGACACGTAGCCTGGGTAGACAGACACGCCCCGGGAGAGGTCGTTGGGCAGGACAGGGGAAGGGAAAGGCGCGAACATCCTCGGCTCGGACAGGAGTGGCTGCGAGAACGGGAGTGAGTAGCTGGGGAGCATCCCTGGAACGGGGGCGTTGAGCATGAAGGAGGGGTTGCTGGCAGTGACTGAGGTAGCCGTGGAAGAGGAACTGACGGGGCCTGTTTGCACCAGGGGGTCAGTAGTCACTGGAAACACCAGGCGGGCGTCTGCCAGCAAATTGGACAGCTGGTAGTAAGAGGGGGCACTGCCCATAAGCAGCGAGTTCTCCCCGGCCTGGGAAGTGAAGGGCGGGGCGAGGTCGTGGTTTAAGGAGACGGGCGGCATGGCAAACCCGCCCGACACTGGGTACCCGTGTTCGTACGGCTGCATGGGGGCTGGCAGATGGCCCTTCCTGGACCGCCGGCGGGCTGACTCCTGGGCAGCAGGTGGTGTGACCAACTTTCGCTTGTGGCCCCTTAAGTCCAACACTGGGTGCCTTTCACCACAGGGCTCTCTGGTCACCAAGAGGGAACTATTGAGGCAATGCCCCCCATGTCGAGGCTCGGTCCCCAGAGCAGTCCCAGGCACAGTACTGCCGTCCACCAGTGGGGCCGGGGGGCCAGGCAAGGCGGCGTTGGAGCTCGGGGAGCCCTGGTGGGACTCCCGGGCAGCAGCCACATCTGCGTACTGCTGGAGCTCACTGAGGATCTCCGGGCTGTCTGGAGAGACGGGCCTGGCCAGCCCCTCGGGGTCCGGGGCTTTGGGTGATGAGGCACTGTGTCTGCCATTGCTTGTAGACTCGAGAGAAGGCCCCTGGGAACCTGGGGACAAAATGCAGGTCACTGAGAATCAGGATAGCCAGGGAGAGGAGGAGGAGATGGAAAAAACCCACATGAAGAGAAGAACCCCGTCCCGTGGTCCCCCAAATTCAGACAGTCTGATGTCCGAACAACATCACTTGGTTAACTTTTCCCAGTCACAGAGAAACCCTCGGACCGAGGCAGCAAGTCCGTCTGTGACAAAACACGTGGCTTCTTTCCACCCCACCCCCCCAGTCTGCAAAACTCCACTGAGGAGAACCGAAGCCTGTGAGATAATGGACGTGACTCACTAAATGACCGTTCTTCTAGCCCGACCAGGATGGAGAAAGGAGGGAGATCAGTTACCAAAGCCACCCACCCTGGCTGGACACCCAAACGACACCGTGGCCGTGGGACGGGCAGACACTGAATACAGCCTGCACAGGGGGGAAAGCAGGCGCAGCTGCAGAACTGTTTGCTCTTTCTTAGGGCGATAAGGAGGTTGTGCTCGGAGGAGAATGTCCTTGACCTTAGGAGATGTGTGTAGAAGTATTTAGGGGTAAAGATGACACGGTGTCTTCGATTTACAAATAGTTCAAGTAACAGGAAAGGAGAGACAAAGCGCGTTCACGAGGAAACTGACAGTCACCGGGCCTAGGTGCAGGCGATGGGGGAGCTGCAGCACCCGTCAGTGCCCACAACAGTCTCCATAGCGAATGCCGGGAACCAGCAGGCTGGCGCTCACGTATCACAGAGGGCGGTGAGAACCACTCCCACGGCAGGGAGCCACAAGAGCTCCTCCCATGTCCCGGGCCACACACACCCTTTGACCTGGCGATCGGCCCCACCTCGAGGAATGTACCCTTTAGAGACACCACGTGTCTGCGAGCCAGCACTGTAGTGGTGGAGCCTGACAACTGGACCATCGCAGGACAGGGGACTGGGGAATACACGGTGCTGCCCCCACTTCTGGGCGTCCTGTGCAAACCCTCTGTGTGCGAACTCTAAGGAAACGCTGAGGAACGTACCAGCGGGTAGAAAAGGACTGCACAGTGCATCACAGGAAGTCAGCACTTTAAAAATACAAAGGAAAGCTACGCCCGTGGGATTTTATCCAGACAGACCCCACACGTCCCTGTACCGTGTGCGTGTGTACAGAGCACCTCTGACAACGGCAACGCGACACGGGTGGCAGGGGGAATGGAGGGAGGAAAATTTCCTTTTCACTTTACTCCTCTTTGTCCCTTTTGAATTGTGAACCACTGTAGACGTTTCTGCTCAGAAACGAAACTAATTACAAGCGAAACTAAGCCAAACAAAAAGTGCTCAGTAGGCCAATGGCAGACAGACACACTGTACCTGAGGCCGCCACCCGACCGTCTTCAGGAGCCTTGGGTTTGCCAGTGGCTCGGACAGCAAAGATCCGCCCGTCGCTGGTGCGGATGTACGTCCCTGACAAACACGGGAAGACCGTTAGCAGCAGACAAGCCACAGGGCGAGCCCTGGGGAGCTCCAGGCCCGGGCACTGCGGGCAGGAGAAAGCTCTAAAGTGAGAGCTCACACCCTCTCTCAAGATGTCTGAAACGAGCAGCGGGGCGACCGAGCTGCGGCCCAGTGGTGACCCCTCAAACACTGACTGCACCAGTGCCGTGGTCAGGCCCCATTCCAGACCCTGACCCTGGTCGGGAGAGACCACGGTCACACCAGAAAACGTCAGGAAGGTTTAAATGCAATGGAGGAAGTACAAGGGGGGCACCCAAATAAAGCAGGAATTTATTTATAGAAAATTGTGTATTTATTTTATGTGTTTAAACTTCAGCCACCTTCCAAACACTCTCCGTTTGATGTATAATACACCTACTGAGACTTTTTCCCCGTGGCTCAAAACAGGTTTTGAACTTGTCCATTTTGATGACTTTTAGTGCTTCTGCTGTTTTTTGTTTTACCTCTTCCACATCAGCAAAATGTTTCCCTTTGAGGACTCTTTTCATCGAGGAAACCAAAAAAGCCCCTCAGGGCGAGAGCGGGTGAATAGGGAGGGTTAGGCATGGGGGTCATGCCATTTAGACCAAAGACTGCTGAATACTCAGCGGTGTGGGCAGGTGTGCTCCTAAATCACCCATCAAAAAAAAAAAAAAAAAGTCACTGAAGCCAAACGCAGCCTCTCACAGCAACACCAGCTGGTACATTGATCCAGGTGGGTTCCTGGAAAACTCACCTAGTTGGGGAAGCCCATGCTACAAGGGGCCCACCCTCCAGAAGATAATTTGGTTTTTGGATCCCCCTCATAAATGGGGGGCTGTGAAAGTGAATCAGGTACTCTGGCCTGTGTCCTCCTCCTGGCTTGGAAGGAAGAAACCTTGTGGCCTCAATAACCTCTCCACTGGCAGGTATAACCCCAGACCTGCATTCTCCTGCACAGCACTAATCTACCTGCCCTGTCTCAGGTCTGTCTTTTGATCAACCTCCTGGAAAGGCAGGGGGCTGCCTCTGGGCCAGAGACCAGTAATCGTTCTCTCACAAGGCCGGTTAGTAGGTGCTTCTGGCTCTGTGAGCCACCGGACCTGCAGCCATTCGACTGTGCAGCATGAAAACAGCTGGGTGTGGCTGTGACCGAAAACCTTTCTTTATGGATGTTGAGATATGAATTTCACCTGAAATGTGAATTTCAGTCAACTGAACGTGAAAAAACCCATCCTTAGCTCATAGGAGAGGAACAGGAAGCAGACTAGATTTGGCGGGGGGACCAGCTGGGGTTTGCCATTTACCAGCCCCTGCTCTGGGCTAGAAGAGCACAGCAGATGGGCAAGCAGATCTGTGCATCCTGTGTTTTGTGGCATCTTTTCCCTGAGCCAAAAGGTTCTCTGACCCAATAGAGGTAAGGACAGCATCTCCTTTCTAAACAAAGAGCCTCAGGGAACCTCAAAGAGTAAAGGCTGATATGAAAAACAGGCTTTGATACCGTCCTGACAATGTCTGGCCCAGGTTTCTCATCCCAGCAGTCTCCTGTCCCTTGGTAAGGGGCCAAGGCAGTGGACTCGCCAGATTACAACACCTGGGAATTCTGTATGCTAAACTAATGCAGCCACCCCAGGCATTTCCGAGTCGAAGACCTCCCACCCCACTCCAAACCAGCAGGTGAGATGGCACAATAACATATGTGTAGGCTGATAACCTTTCCACAGTTCTTTCCCTTTGATTCTGAGCTGCCTGTGTGCAGTGTGCTAGATGTTACTCTTGGTTGCTGTAGCATTCATTTCAAAGACGTCCATCTCAAACAAACAAATGGCCAGCTGTATGATACAACTACTAGCTAAACGACTGGCTAAGGAACGGGCGGTCCCCACCCATGAAGGCCCCTTTTAGAAAGCCCAGTGTAACCTAGACACCTGACCCTGGAGTGACCCTGCTCTTCCCTGCCAGTGCTCTGATATCCACTCTTACGAGGGGAACCCAAAAAACCCAGAATTATCTTCTGGAGGGTGGGCCCTTGTAATACAGATTTCCCCCACTAGGTGAGTGCTCTAGGAGCCCACCTGGATCAGTGTACCAGCTGGTGTTGTTGTGAGTGGCTGTGTTTGGCTTCAGTGAATTTTTTTTGAAGACTTTTTCACCATGTGCACCCATTTCATGATGGGTGAGTTACAAGTGCATCTGCCCACCCTGCTGAGTGTCCAGCACTTTTTGACCCAAATGGCATGACCCCTTCCAACTGTCTAAATACAGAATACCGTGCCCACCCTTCCTATTCACCCAATCTCACCCCAAGGGACTTTTTCTGTTTCCTGGATGAAAAGTCCTCAAAGGGAAACAGTTTGCCCATATGGAAGACAAAACAAAAACCAGCAGAAGCACTAAAAGGCTTCCAATCCCACAAGTTCAAAAACTTTTGAGCAGTGGAAAAAATGTCTCAATAGGTATATTACATCAAACAGACAGTATCTGGATGGTGACCAGAGTTAAAACATGTAAAAATAAATACACAGTATTTTATAAACAAATTCTAGGTTTTTATTTTTGGGTCCCCCCTGTATGTTTTAAGTTTGCTGATAAAGACTGACCCCAGTCTTGGACTGGGATAAAGGCAGAGGAGACCCAGGTGCATGCTCTCTCGCTCCCTCCCCCATGACCTCTGGGCCAGGCCCTGGAGCACAGTTGTGCCCTCCAGGGCCTGTGAGCACTGAGCCTGCATTTGCAGAGGTCTCTGCTGTGCGGTACAATCATGACACCCACAAGGGCCAGCTGGGCCACAACTCTGGCTCTGGGGAAATGTCTCTGTGGGTTCCCACAGGCAGTATAGAACCAAATGAGTCAGGCACTCCAAGCTGACTTTCCATAGGCTAAGATGGACCCAAAACACAGTGTCTATCCAAACCCACCCCGAATTCTCCATAAAAACAATGTTAAAACACAGGAATATGGGGACCCTAACTCCTTTCTCTTGAGCCACTGACATAGCCCGTGGGCCTGATCCCAGCCACTAATCTCCTGGAAGGTCGTTCTCCTGTGCTTTCCCCCACATGTGACACTCTTGTAGGGTGACTCCTCCCCAGCACAAGCCACATGCACAGGCCCCGTTTCCGGGCAGGGACAGCCCCGGCCGGGCGCTCACCTTTCGTCCCACGGATGATGTGGATGCTCTCCCCAGCATGGATTCTGGCCTGCACGTCTGTGGAGCTGTTGAGTCCAGGAATAACAATATCTAGTGAAGACACAGACCTCAGATTTAGATCACATGGGGCCTAACGAGAGCAGGGGAGGGAACCGGAGCCCGCACTCGCCCGTTCCTCCATGGTTTCTCTGAAGCCTCTCATGGAGCAGAGGTCAGAACCCAGGGAGGCAAAGCAAGCGGGTCCTCTTCCAACTGTCTAAATACAGAATACCATGGAAAAAAGGAACTTTCTAGAATTCTCATTGCCTCTGGTCAATTTCCCCTGAATTAATTAAAAATTCAGAGGTTGTGCTTTAGAAAAAGTTTTGGTTCAAATGGTTGTTTCTGCGTAGCTTTCCCTCCCCCCTGAGCTATCTGCGCGCATCGGCCCCACACCACGTCAGGCACCACGTGGCCTCACCCCGCTCCCTGCCACCACTGCTGCACACCCAGCTAGAGAATGAAGAGGGTTCTCGAGAACTGGCAGAGAAGCGGACTTGGAAGAGGCTCTCTTTTAGAGAAGTGCTTCCTTCCCAATGACCCTGAAACACAAGGCCAATCCCAGGGTGGATGGGCTGCACCCCCCTCCCCACCCCTGGTCTGCCCTGCTCCATCCACATCAGACTCACAAAGAAAAAAGCAAGTGATGTTCAGACCTCCCGATGCAGCAGGGAGACCGAGAGCCGGCCTTGATGCTCAGCTCACCCTACCGTCAGGTGGGGCTCCATGCCTCTCGGAAGACTGACCCTGTGTCCCTGTGACATCACCACCACCTCTGCATGACCTGGAGTCTGTCCCACCCACCACCTTCAAGCAGACCCAGTTCCATGTTATTATTATGACGATTATTTCACTAGAGTGCAAATCCCTCAAGACTGGTCACTGTTGTCTTCTCTGTTTTCACCCACAGTGCCAGTGTAGCAAGGCCTAGGATTCACAGGAGTTTAACGCATAATAAAATTCCTGAATGAGCAAAGAAATGTGAAAAGGGACAGCCCGCTTGGAAGAGAAGCCAGGAGTTCCCAACCTGTGGTGGTGACCACCTTCTGCACCAGGACCCCAGCACGCTGCAGGTAGTTGATGGGGAAGTTCATAGCTGGGTTTGTGCCAGAGGCGCAGCTGACGCCGCCTCCCAGTGGGACGTGCCGGGGCATCATGGGGATGGGGGTGGACTGCACGGGACGAACACTGGCCACAGGCTTCTCGTCACCCTTCAGGGTCGGCTGCCTAAGGGAGAAAGATAAGTGCACTCAGCAAGGTCGGCACAGCGGCCATCCTGTGGAGCCCTCAGAGCCCCTTCAGACGGCCCCTCTCCAGCCTTGGGTGTTGCTCCAAGGAGCACCAGAGGAACCTACAGGACAGGGCCAATTCAAAGGACGACAGTGACAAAGGGCGGAGACAGCAAGGCGGCGAAGGTGATGCCTCTCAGAGTCTAGGGAGTCAGACGCCAGTGGAATGACACCGTTGTGGGGATGGGCGGTGACAGCTGCTCCTCCAGAATTCGCTCTGTCAGTCTACACACACTAGGAAGCAGGCCTCGGAGTTGGGGAGACACAGAGAGGCGGCACGGGAGGAAAAGCTCATCAGGGCACAGTGCGAGCTAACTTCAAGATGAGGGGGTGGAATTTACCCACTCACCCAGGAGCAAGGCCACGGGGTGCCACACGTTCAGGTGAACTTGAGAAGCCACCTGTTCAACCTTGACCGTCTTTATTCTCTGAAGCTTCAAGTATCAGTAAGTGATGCAGACACCTTCTCTTCTCTGTGTTACTTTTCAGGGGGACCTCCTGGGGCCGGTCTCCACAGCACCCCTCTAATCACGACCACCTAAAAAGCAGCAGCAGCAGCAGCAGCAGCCAAAATGCTGTGCGCAGGAGGCAGGCTTCTAACAGGCCTGTGCCCAGGCCAGCCTGAGCCCTAGCTGGGTGTGTCCTGCTACCCATACGCCACCCTGTTACCCCAGGGTCAGTGGCGCATTCCTCACGCCTCCACCTTTCTTTGCCTGGAGGAAGGTACCCTGAGAAAGCTGCTCCTGACTTAAGGTTTTTGAAATTAAGTTCCACCTATAGGCTTTCTGAAATCTGCATCTTTGGTCTTTGGTCCTAGGAAGCCGACCTCCTCGGACTGACATGCTCTGCCTCATCTGACGAGGAACACCTAGGGCATCGCCCCGAGCCTTGTGGATGCCCATGTTCCCAGGGAGGCCAGACAGCACAGCAGGCTCACCAAGTCGGGGCCCGTTTCTTCGATGGTTGCCCAGAGTAGCTGTGCAGGGACTAGGGCCCTGGCCAGATGTCAACGGGACTGTTCCCAGGGTCACGCTAGACGGGTAACAGGAATGTAGCCCAAGCCCCATTCTCTGCAGGGCCCGAGGTGAGGAATTTGGTGGAAGGCTCCCTCACACGCACCCAGACAGGATAAACAATCAGCGGGGTCACGGTATGTATGGCTCATCAAATGCCCAGAGCAGCTGGGCTGGAGCCTGTGCTTACATCGCCTCACAGCCCAGCCCACTTGTCAGGTCTCCCCTGACATGGCTTTTCTCCACTGGCTCAGGCTCAGTCCATTCCTACTGTTACACGGAAAAGTGAAAAAAGGAGAGCAGGACAAGAGCAGAGGACGTTCACAGGCAATAGCACCTGGGGAACAACACACAAATATGGTCTGGAGGATGGAAAGAGTGCTTTTCTCCCTGAAGCATCTCGTACATAAAAAGAGCACATTTACCCACCAAAACGAGAGTCTCATGTGAAACGTCACATGGTTTCAGTTCCTTTGAAACCTCATTTGGCAAGGTTTTTTTCACATGCGCTCATCATAAGGAAAAAAAGTTTCAAATCTATCCCACTCAAAATAATTGTCTTTAATTCAAGATAATTAAGCAAGTTAAAAATGATAGGACTTCCGCCAAGATGGAGGTGTAGGTGGAAGCACTGTGCCTCCTCCCACAACCAAGTTTAAAAACAACAAAGTTTTAGCAACAAAAATGCAGCCAAAACCACAGAAAATTGAACTTCAGGGAAGTCTGACAACAACATACCCTTCAGCCAAACTGGTAAGAGGGGCAGAGCAGCAGCAGAGCGGGTCGGGCAGGAAAGATCCACTGGACCAATCCGGGCGCACAAACCAGGTGCACCGGCAGCCGTAGGAGGATCCCAAGTGTGGAGAAGCGGGTGGACCCACTGAGGGCTGACCAGTTACACGTTTGTGCGCAGATAAACCGGTGAAGGAGAGAGCAGTGAGACAGACTGTGCAGGCCCCAGCGGCAGGAAGTGGCAGAGGGGACCGCCATTGTCCCTCTCTGACCCCACCCCCACCTAAAGCATCACAAACCAGCAACCTGGGTGGGCCCTGCCCTGGTGAGCAACTAAGGATCCGCTCCTCATACCTAACAGGCACGAACAGATCAAAACATGGCTCAAGAAGAACTTAAAGCCCCAGAGCCCATAAATCTAAGCAACGAAGAAATAGCCAAACTTTCAGATGCACAGTTCAAAACACTGGTGATCAGGATGCTCACAGAACTGGTTGATCTCAGTCACAAATTAGAGGAACATATGAAGGCTAAACTAATTGAAATGAATGGAAATGCACAGAAAACCAATAGGTGGAGAGGAAACTAGGACTCAAATCAAAGGAGTGAACCAGAGAGAGAAAGAAAATGACCAAACAGAAAAGAATGTAGAAACAAGAATTCAAAAAAAATGAGGAGAGGCTTAGGAACCTCCAGGACATCTTTAAACATTCCAACATCAGAATTACAGGGGTGCCAGAAGGGGAAGAGGAACAGCCACAAGTGGAAAACTTATTTGAACAAATAATAAAGGAGAACTTCCCTGTTCTGGCAAAGGAAATAGATTTCCAGGAAATCCAGGAAGCTCAGAGAGTCCCAAAGAAGTTGGACCCAAGAAGGAACACACCAAGGCACATCATAATTACATTAGCCAAAATTAAAATGAAGGAGAGAATCCTAGAAGCAGCAAGAGCTAAGGGGACAGTCACCTATAAAGGACTGCCCATCAGACTGTCAGCAGATTTCTCAAGAGACCTTACAAGCAAGAAGGGGCTGGAAAGAAGTATTCCAAGTCATGAAATCCAAAGGCCTACATCCAAGATTGATGTATCCGGCAAAGCTTTCATTTAGAATGGAAAGACAGATAAAATGCTTCTCAGATAAGATCAAATTCAAGGAGTTCATCATCACCAAGCCCTTATTATATGAAAGGTTAAAGGGACTTATCTAAGAAAAAGAAGATAAAAAAGATGAACAGTGAAAGGACAGCACCTCACAGTTATTAACAACCACACCTAAAACAAAAGCAAACTAAGAGGATAGCTAGATCAGGCGCAGAACCATAGAAATGAAGATCACATGGAGGGTTAGCAACAGGGGAGTGGGAGAAGGAGAAGGGGGGATAAGGTACAGAAAATAAGTAGCATAGATGGTAGGTAGAAAATAGATGGGGGGGAGGGTAAAAATAGTAGGGGAGATATAGAATCTAAAGAACTTGAGACACATGGTCATAAACTAAAGAGGGGGAATGGTGGGGGAGGGGTGCACAGGGTGGAGGAGAATGAAGGGGGGAATAGAACAACTGTAATGGCATAATCAATAAAATATATTTAAAAATAAATAAATAAATAAATAAATAAATAAATAAGTAAGTAAAAATGAAACCACCAATCAAGCAGCCAAACTAGTAAGGATAATGGGGTACTTTGTCTCAAAAATGAAAAAAAAATTAAGCACAGATAACTGTTCTGTCATGTTCTTTACAAAGCACCTCTCTTTCCACTTGGCAATTGGCTTTTCATCGTGTTCATATTCTTAAGAGTTCTAGAAGCTGTGCTGAAGAAAAAGGTTTTTCGCTCAGGACTGTGGCACAGCCACAGAATGAAATCCCCTTAGAACAACAGAATTCATTGCCTGCAATCCAAGACCCATGGAGACCTAGCCTTCACCCTTGAACTTCAGTGCTAAGCAAGGTCCAGAACCAAGATGCTATGGATAGGATGTGGCTATGGGGGCGGGGCTGGGCCACTATGTTTTGGGAAGCTACACCTCCCAGGAATCCAAAAGAATTCAAAAGGAGTCTCCTGAGTCATTAGACCAGCTGCTTGTTCTTCTAGCCAGAGCCACTTAGAACACCGAGGCTGCCGAACTGCGTGGACGCCTTGTCCCAGAGTAGGACCTGTCAGTGCTCAGCAGCCAAGAGCTGGCTGCAGCCTATCCCTCTGCTTAAACAATTCGCTGCAGGGAGGCTGGGCCTGGCCCCGAGGCAGCCCTTCTCCCCGGTCAGCGACTCACCAGCTTCTCTGACTGAAGGCAGGGATGCTGGTCAGGCTCTGGTCGCTGGCGGGGTAATACTGAGCGTACGAGGGGCGGGTGTAGGGGACAGATGTGCGTTTGTCCTCCTCATAGCTTTTCTTCGCTGCCTTCTTCTCCGCCTTGGTCAGCTTGTGATCCTTTCGGTTAAGGAGCAATGACTCGTGCTCAAAAGGCTCCTGGGGACACAGGAGGACACTGATTTAATTACCGGTCTTCGTGCCAACGTAAAGGACACACAGGAGCCTTACTGTGATACGAAGAAGGGGCTGGCCATCTCCAGCACCAGCAGAGAGCCCACTCACAGACACCTGGGCAGGTGCGCTGCCCCACTGTCGAGAGGACGGCCATGGGTCTAACCCAGCACCGGCTTTAGACAGCCCGAGTCTACCTTCCATGTCAAAAGGGAGGAGAGTTCAGAGAGTGAACAGACTACAGTAGTTTTAGAATTTTCCATTGCTCTTTCTGCTAGGAAAACACACCGGCCAACCTATTCCACATGGCCAAGCCCAGCACTTGCAAGACCGTCCTAGGGGTGTGACCTGCATGGGGCAAGGAACAGGACCAGTGGAGTTCAAGTTGCCTGCGTGACACAAAAGTCCTGGTGAAGAAAATAAGCCCTCCAGACAAGCTGCCTCTGCTGGAGACTGTTGTACAGAGACCGCACGCATCCAAGTTCTTACCTTGGTGATGAGGTGAGGGTACTTCAGACAGGCAAGCTGCAGGACTGGCTCCTTGATCCCCTTTGTGTTTAAAGATGTTTGGGGAGCTGGCTCCTTCTCAACAAAGTGCAGTAGATTCTCTACCTCCTTCCTGGTGAAGTTCAGCATTGGATTGAGATCGTCTACCACCCGATCTAGAAGGGAGAAGACGAAGAAAGTCAGTACATGGCAAAGAAGACTGCAAAGGCCTAGTGACAAAGATGGGCATTAACTGTCACTAGTCCCTAAACCACCTCAGGCCCCTCCACATCTGAAAGTCGAAGACGAGGCCTGAGGCCCTGGTGAAATGGAAATACTGTAAGAGACGCCTGCATAACTAGCTTGGCTCTTATCACTAAACCCACCTTCAACAAGCTGAGGTCCATCTCTCATAAGCACTTATTTGAATTGGAACGAGACTGGAGGAACTGCCGGCTTTCTCTAATTGAAAGCCTACCTGTGTTCACACAGCCTCCCTCTCCCCATTCCCCTTGAGGCAATAAAGATGGCAGCCTACGTAAGTTTGTCTCCGAGCTTGGGAGATGGCCCACCTGACATGCCCTGCTTGGAAATCTGACGGTCATAGATCTTCTTTTCAAGGGTGAAGTCGGCCACAAGGCGGTAGATGTGACAGGGCTTTTTCTGGCCGTAACGGTACACCCGACACACGGCCTGCGCATCATGGCAAGGGTTCCAGGAAGCATCAAACACCACCACTCGGTTGGCGCCGATCAGATTCACGCCCAGGCACCCGGCCCTTTGAAATGCAAACCAACAACCGCAGAGCCTTTAGTTTTAAAGATGGTTTTCAAATCAGTTTTACCCTCTGGGACTCTTGCCCCAGTGCTGCCCTTTCTGTCCCAAGCACAATGTACTGGCGGGTTCTGCAGTCCTGCTGATGAATGCAGTATGTCCTGAAGCCGAGAAAGAGGCCGTGAGTGCCCGACTGGGCGTGCCCACCTGAGCAGCAAGAAGGCCCACTTTCCACCCGCTCTGATGAATGTGACGCCACCTGGTGAGGGGCAAGGTGGGCTTAGTCTAACAGCTCAGGGGACTGACTCGGCCTGGCCCTATCAAGGGCATCCTGATTGTGGAAGACGGCACGGACTCTGAGCTGCTTGGCATGAGGCAAACAGGTCCGTCAGCCTTTTAAGTTGCACTGCACTTCCTACTTTCAAAAGCACTTTCACATTCATCACATTGTCTCAAAACACTCCAAGAAAAAAACTAATTATGATCATTAACAAATGTCTCAAAAAACTTATTGACAATGTCACCATCACTCTTCTAATAAACTTCCTTTTGGTCTCCCCCTCTCACTTCAAACACAAGTTACAAGCCTGAGCAGAGTTCTTCTGACAGAAACTGGATGAGCCTTTAGGGTACCTGCCTGTGTAGCCAACCTCCCAGGATCCACTCACCTTGTGGAGAGAAGGAAGAGCCAGGTGGTGAGGTTGCTGGGATCATTGAACTGATTAATGAGCCGCTCCCTCTCGAAGGCAGGGGTGCTACCATCCAGCCCTAGGGCAGCAGGAAAACCACATAGGTGAACAGATGAAGGCAGGGGCACACAGTGAAACTACTGGGCAAATGTGTTTTAAAAACAAAACAAATGACACACTACAGTGCTTGGCTTTTACCCCCGGACACTCCACAGTCTACCATGGACCCAGGGTTCTGTAATTTAAAAACATCCCCAGGTGACCCTCATGTGCAACAAGGGCTATGAACTATGTTTCTCCCTTTGGCATCTTGGGTCAATTCTAAGGCCAAGGTTCCTAGGTTTAGGGTGCATAAGAATCACCCTAAACATATAGATGCTTGGTAGGCCCTGGCTCAGGCAACCTCTCCACCTCAGTGCTGTGAATCCCGACAAGCACAGATAGACCAAGGGTCTGTGTTCGATGTGGATGATGCTCCTCCAGCAGGAGCCTGCGCTGCTGACCAGTTCCTAAGGCTGACAGCTCACTAGAAGGAGACTCGAGGGAAGAGGTGAGATGGAGCAGTGGGTGAGACACATGGATGAAAAGGGGGAAGTTCGAAAGGAGAAAAAGTAACCCTTGTTAAGCATGAAGGAGTTAACCTTCTCGTTCATGCTTAACCTTCCTTAACCTTCGGTTAAGAAGCAAGGACTGGCTACTCTTGTTGCCTCGGGTAAAGCAGAGAAGGGGGCAAAGCTAGGAGCCCGAAATGCCACGTGGAAAACGGAACTGCTACAGTTGGAGGAAGCACTCCTTTAACGGGCTGGTATTGGAGGCACTGTCAGCCAGCACCCCAACCCACCTTTCCAACCCCAGTTCTCCAACCACAGTTTCCAAGCACAGCTCAGCACTGACTCATTGGACGAGCCTGCTGTGAACACCAGCGCCAGGCTGGACGCTGTGCTGGAGTCTCCTCACCACCCCGAGCCTGAGGTGCTCTTCAACAAGGGTGGTTCCTGCACCCACCACCTCACAGGAGGCAGGCCCGGGATGGTGCTGGCTGTTAGAACCAAGTGGGTACACTGCCATCTAGTGCACAGAGCCCAGGGGTGCTGCTCGGCACCCTACAGTGCACAGGATGGCCCCGGACAACAAACTTCCGGCCAAACGTCAGGGCCTGGTCAGTAAGTGCTGGGGGCTGACATTTCCCAACCTTTTAAAAAACTTTCACCCTCTTCAGGAGCCTTTTCATACATTTTTTTCCAATCGTTGCCCCGCCATGTAATTTTAACACCACACATATACCTGTATGAATATTTGTGCTGTATACTTCAAAAAATTAAGTTTTTCACCCCCTCAAGAACCAATTTGCCCCCCTGGGGATGCTCTCTCCCCCACAGAGAATACGTGACCTAGATTTATGTTCACTCTACGCTTCCTCCCTAAGATGACCTTGGGCCGCATTAGCTCGGTATCTTTCAAGTTCTCCCCATTTTGCCCAATCTAGTGCAAGTTCTGCCTCCTCCAGGAAGCCTTCTCCACCCGTCCTCACCAGGGCGACTCTGTCCTCCCTAGAACCCCAGTCAGGGTGCACGGTCAGTGCTGCTCTGTATTTGTCCTCGAGTCAGCCCATTTCAGACGAAGACGAGGCCATGTCTGCTACCTCTCCTCCATGCTGCCAACTGCGCCTAAGTTCCCCGTCCCCTAGGACAGTGCCTCCCACACTGCCACCCACTCTGGTGTCTCTCTGCGCCTTGGAGCATCACAGATATTCCTATCCATCTGATGGAGAATGGAGCAGAAGGGAAAATGAGAGAAAAGGAGAGGAACCCCTTAGGCAGACCTTGCCAAGGCCCCCAGAACGAAGCAGCAATGAACTCACGGAAGTAGCTGATGTTTCGAGCCCACTTCTGTGCGCCTTGACCCTCAGCACCAGGTGGACAGGGCACTTCCCGTTTCCCTAGGAACTCCTCGATGAGAGCCAAGGTGGAAAGGCTCTGGCTGGAAAGGGGCAACATCTGGTTCAGAAGGCTCCCAGGCCCGAGGGAATCCTGTTCCCCAACAGGCCCACGATTGTGTGCAGCCTTCTGGCGGTGGGAGCTCCCGGTCTACTCCGCACGAGAGGTAACCCCACAAAGGACCACCAAGGGCCTTCTCTCTAGCTCATAACAGGAGCAGAGTCATTCACACAGTTACTACTGTCACCCTGCTAATAATTTCTCTACCCTGTGACTTTCTCAATTGGGAAATTCTGGGGTTTAGATCAGTGCTAGTAACAGCATCAGCATTAAAAACCCACACTGCAAGAGTATGTAGCAGAGCCAGCAACAGGCCACAGGCAATGCTGTGGTCTCGCGGGGGAAATAGAGGCACTTGGCTGCCTCCAAGATATGCAGAGCCAGTGTCCTTGGAAGTGAGCCATGAACCCTGACTGGTGTGGCTCAGTGTATTGAGTCAGCCTGCAAACCAAAGGGTTGCCGGTTCAGTTCCTAGTCAGGGCTTGTGCCTGTGTTGTGGGCCATGTCCCCAGTTTGGGGTATGGGGGACAACCACACATTATGTTTCTCTCCCCTCTTTCTCCCTCCCTTCCCCCTCCCTTCCCCCTCTAGAAATAAATAAATAAAATCTAAAAAAAAAAAAAAAAGAAGCCACGAAACTGAAGGCTCTCCCCAAGCCAGAACTCCTGCTGTCGGTCCCCTGTCACCTGTGGAGACCCTCCCTCCCAGGCCCGGCTGCAGCCACTGAGCTGTCACTGGAGCCTGATCTGGCCAGAACAAAGGAGACGCAATCTCCTTTCTCTCTGTTTCCCTGAGGAGTCAGGCCCAGATGGGACGCAACACTCTAGCCAGACTGAGAATGTGACTCTGGATGGAACAGATCGCATCATTTATTTGGCCCTACATACAAAGCTTAATTATTTAAATTAAAAAAAAAAAAAAAGGCCGAGAGGGAAAGAAGCCGATTAGATCAAAGGTCAGAGATGTGTTCGTCTGGAAAGGGACGAACAGTAAACGTTTTTCAGCTTTACAGACCACATACAGTCTCTGCTGCATTTTCTTTTTCTTTTAAGAAAAAAAAAAACCCTTTTCAAATGTAAACACTAGTTCTCAGGCTGTACAATGCCAGGCCACAGGCCAGATCTGGCCCAGGGCCACAACTTGAAGTTTTGGACTATGATTTACAGTGTTAGCCCATGGTTTCAAATTGTTCTCTGCAGAGATCAGCACTGGACAAAGAAGGAAACTCCAAGGAAAAGAGAAAATGCAGCCACCCAAGAAGCACTGGGCTGCAGGGGCAGAAGAGCAAGGGGCCTGGTGTGACCCCAGATGTCTCACTCTGCAGGGCTCACATCACTTTCACCAGAGAAGCACAGTGCCACCCGGGAATTTCTCTCCTACCTGAACACGAGGATCTTGTCCCCAAGCTTCACACTTTCCTCAATCAGATGGAAAAGCAGTACCATCTTGGGAGAGTTCTCCAGGACTCCAGTCTGGTAATTAGTCAAAAGGTCCTTGGCCTGCAAGAGAAAACTGAGGCAGCTTGGAGCAGGCCCATGGCCAGATCAGTAGAAATAAAGTGCTCTCCCTCCAAGACAGCAGCTCACGGGCAGCCCTTACCGTTCCCTGCGCAGCCCCGCCCTCTCCCCACACGGGCTTTGCACCATCTCTTCTCAGCAGCATTTTATGGCCACAGAAGATGTGCTAAACTCACCCACTCGTACGTGACAATGTTGTTGCCTCGCTCCTGGAAAGGGTTGAAGCCCACCCCTTGGAGGAACTTGGTATTGGTGGCCTCTCCCACTGCAGAGCCCAGGGCACTGTCCTCCCCCTTGACTTTTGTTCCTTGTGATGGGCAGCGGGCACTGGCCCCCGTGGAGCCAAGCTCTTCCACGTCCAGGTCCTGCTCATTGGCCAGGTTCTCCTTCTGAAGGGCTTCATACAGCACGTCGGGGTGATTCCAGATCTGAGGTTCAGGTCAGGGGAGAGGTGGCACAGGACAGCGAGCAATATGAGGGTGTCGCGGACAGTCTGGGAGCACGCTCTCGCTCCGCCTCACACCTCCCACTGCACACGCTGTCTGTCACACCCGAAATGGAAATATCCCAACCCCCTTGTAGCCAAAGAGCCTGTATGCGTGCTTCTACTACCGACTCTGACCACCATGACATGTGAGCAGGAGAGTTCACGCCAGGGGCCACGCCAGCAGGTTTGGTACTTGAACAGAAGTCTGTACCGGAAGTCAGTCCTTCTCACCCTTGCATGTTCCTGTCTCACAGTCAACTATGTGTGAAACAAGACCAGCACCTCCCTGTGGACAAATGTGTCTGACTTCTAGATGACCTAAGAGAAGTCATTTTAGAGACTACTGGGCGAAGAGGGGATGGGAACCGTTGGGACGGGTGCATCAGCACTGCAGATCCTCCAGACCATGTCTGCTTTAGCGTCCTAGCCCTGGTCTCTAGGATGGTGGCTACTAAAGAAATATTTTGAAACCCTCTGTCCCCAGACACACATCTTCAGCTCGCTCATGCAAGCGGTGGCCTATCAGGAATAACGCCCCACAGGCAGGCTGAGAGCTGCCAGCGCAATGGGCCCCCAGTGAGACAACAGGGAGCACTCGGCCAGGTCACAGACAAGTCAGGGTGCCTCTACCTGTTCATGAGACAGCGCTAACGGTACCTGGGCCTTGCTGTCCCCAAACCACCGGAAGCACTATCGGGGCGAAGGAGATCTCACTCTGAGGAAGTACAGAATCAATGGGAGGCACCCGTAATAGCCTGTCTGAACTACACAGTTCCTGAATCTTGATCACGTGAGCAGGCAAAATGCTGCCCCACGGTGTTCTGCCGCAACCCCCCACACACCAAGGGGGAAAATCAGTGAGGAAGGCAGCAGTTTCCCAAATTCAGCGTTACGGGCAGTGCAGCTGAGCTGCGCGGCGCAAGGGGCGCCACTCGCACTGCAATGTGAGTAGCACTCCCAGGACTGAGCAGCTCGAAGCCAACCCGCCTCTCCCAAGAGCCCCCGGACTCCAACACAGAGGCGGCGCCTCTGCCTGTATTCTTCCTTCATCAAGGACTCCCAGCAGGAGGAACTCCCTGGGAACCTCGTGCATCCTTGGTCTGAGTCGCAGTGTGCCCGTGGCCCCAACACACCTTGCAGCACACACAGAAAGCCTTGAGGGGGTTCAGCCCCAGCCAGCCGCTGCTGCCACAGTCCCGGAAGCGGTCCATGAACTGAGTGTACAAGTCTCGCTGGATCTTGGAGAGCCGTACCAGGATCACATTTTCTTCCTTGGCAGGGAGGTGAATCTTCAGCACAGTGTGGCCTCGCCTGTGAGCGTGGAAATCAGAATTGTCGAGGCAGCGTGGCTGGGGGGACCAAGTGCAGGACAGAAACCGTACCCTGCCTTTCTGCCACGCCTACGTCTGGAGGACCTCACAGCAGTCTTGCAATGAGGGCTGGCTCAGCAATCACCAAGAATACACTCATTCTGGGCAAAAAAACTAAGGCCAGAGGCAGTGAGCTCCCCCGGGTTCTTACCCAATTCTGGGCTGCTTCTCTAAGCTTTTCCGCACAGCCATGTGAACAAGGGAAAATGAGGCTGCTGCAGACAGGTATAAACTACGCGCCTCCACAGGCTGACCTGGCACAGCCTACCCCAGAGCCACCCATCCGCTCTTTCCCCCAAGCCAGCAGAATGCCAGCTCTCGCTGCTTCTCTCAGCAGGTAAGCAGGCATCCACGGTAACTACAGACTGGCTTACAAAAATATTTTCACTTATTATTCATTTTTAGAGAGAGGAGAAGAGAGAAGAAAGAAAAGGAGAGAAACATCAATTGGCTGCTTCTTGCATATTCCCAACTGGGGACCTTGCCTGCAACCCAGGTATGTGCTCTGACTAGGAATCGAACCAGTAAGCTTTGGTCCTCAGGCCGGCGCTCAATCCACTGAGCTACACTAGCAGAGCTGAACTGACTTTTGAGAGAAGCACTTCTAGCCAGACTTCCGGGGGACAGAAACAGTGGGCACCCGTCCTCTGCTCGCTACTCAGGAAATGCTACTGAGTAAAGGAAGCTGGACTCCTGCTGCACTAGGAAGGGCCGCCTACTCCTCCAGGGGAGGGCTCACCGCTGCACGAAGCCCTCCAGGAGGCTGTGCAGGACGTGGCTCCGGTACCGCATGAGGCGGACGTCCTGCGGCGTGCTGTCAATGCACTGCCCGTTCAGGATGGGGCGCTCGAACATGTTGCTGAACTCCTGCCGAGTGCCGAGGAAGTCGGGGCGCACGAAGTCCACCATGCACCAATACTCAAGGAGGTTGTTCTGCAGGGGGTACCCGGTCAGCACCACCCGGCGGCGAGAGCGAATGTTCTTCAGGGCCTGGGAGGTGCTGGCCTGGCAGTTTTTGATGCGGTGTCCCTCGTCACAGATCACCACGTCAGGGCCAGGGCGGCACAGGGCCTTCTCAAACTCTGGGAAGGGAAGAGGACCCGGAGTCAGGGGGTGAGAGGGCCTGCTCTCAGTCAACAATATGACAGGTAGGGGTGCACCCTGGAGGAGACAGGAGAAATGAGGGGAGCAGGAAAGCAAGAGTCAGTCAGCCCCTGTCAGTGAAAGGGAGCCAGCCATCCAAGCTCATGCGGGTTGGCGTGACACGGGACCCTGGCCTGCTGACTCTCGAAGTCAGCATCTCTTCCCTCGTTCTCCGTTCCTTTCCCTCCTTTAGGCTCCGAGTGAAACTGACTTGCATTCCTAGGGCGAGGCCGGCAGGGCCGCAGACAGCACAGCTGCGCAGGGCATGGGAGTCTGGATGAAACATGGGAGCAGCCCAGACTCTTGAGTCGGCGTTCCCACCGTTAGCACTGGGGTGCCCCCTGAGGGATGGAGGGAGCTAGCTGAAGGACAAGGCCTTCTTGGACAGACTCCCCTGTTGGCCAACAGGCAGGTGCATCCTTGGTCTATGAGTGAAGTCAAGCTACAGCAAACGTGACCTCAGGATGAAGAGACTTATAAAATGAAACAGCCTGAACCCCAGGAAAAAGTTCTTCCCCAAATGGACAAAGGCCCTCAGAAGAGGGAGCAGAAGTATGTGAGGAATGGCTTTCACTGGAAGACGAGATTCATTTTTGTTTTAGAAATTCACACACAGTATTATCAGCAACGTAAGGACTTTAGAAACACTCTCTGACTGCTGTCCCAGAACGTCACCAGGAGTGGCAAAGGCTGCAAAGGCTCTCCAGTTGCTTGGTGAGAGAAACAGGAGCGGGCAGGGGAGTCTCCTCTGAGCCTTGGCCTGACCACCCGTCCACTGCTCTGAGGGCCAGAAGGTCATCTCACCTACCTCGGGGACCGGGAGTTCTGGTTCAAGACAACATAGCTCGCGTCAACAATGCGTCTTACTGGACGAGGGGCTGTGCACACACTATTTCTTTTTTTCTGAAACACCCCCGAGAGCATCCCCGGAACAAGCTGCCCACCTCTCCGAAACTCCTGCTGTCGATCTTCCTCATCCAGATCAATGATGACCGGGTGAGAACGTTTCTTGGTTTTCTTCGGTCTACCTGTGGCAAAGGATTTCTTCAGGGTGAGGAGTCTGTACATTTCGTACCCCATCAGCAGCACCCCACCCTCTGACACCCAATCAGCCATCACTTTAGCACGAGCTGCCATTGTCCTGTAAGAGTGAACAGAGAGAAGATATTATTGCTTCCACTGCTCACCAGGAAGAATTCCTCACAAGCAAAGCTGCGTCAACGTACATTTAGAATCCTGACTGCCAATGGCATCACGTGGCGGCATCACGTGGCGGCATCACGTGGCAGCATCGCTGCCCGAGGACTTTCCCAGCGTCCTAGAGACACTGACTGCCCTAGAGACACTGACTGGGGAGCTGATGATGGTTAAACAGCAAAGCACAGAAGTGCAATGGCACAAGTCAAGCAAAAGTGACGTCCTCCTTGGATGCACACACCTGACTACAACAGTTGAGGGAGAATTTCAAGTTACTCCCATAATAAATAGAAGGTACTAAAAACCAGGGCAACATCCGGCACTTCGGCCACTCAGGCTCCGGCAAATGAAGAGCCAAGGACAAGAAGTGAAGGAGCAAGAGCAGTGGAGAGCAGATGACACTCGGCCCAGTCCCTGCACTTGTGGACAACTGAGCCCTGGCTGAACTTCACCTCTGCACATGGACTAACTGTCCTGGAACCTGAGGAAGAGCAGGTGGCCTCGGCAGAGACATACCACTGGGAGGAAAGGGAGGCATGGGTAATGGGTCTGGACCAAGAGATACCTTTAGAGTTTTGGAAATTGGGTTGAATACATGGAGTGGAAATACAAATAATTTTAAATAAATCTAAAACAAAAAAGGGTTTGCACCTTTCAAAGTTTAGAAGTTGTACCATTAAAGGTCAACTGTAGATGGGGCTTAAAAGGAGAGACTGGCGAGCTGCTAAGAAAAGAGAAATGTAAAAGGTATAGTCAGAAGATGGAAAGTTTCATTTTATCATATTGAGTTCTTAAAAAATTTTATTTATGAATTTTAGAGACAGAGAGAGCAAGGGAGGTGGGGGGGGAGAAACATCTATTTGCTGTTCCACTTATTTATGCACTCATTGGTTGATTCTTGTATGTGCCACAACTGGGGATCGAACCCCAACCTTGGTGTATGAGGACAATGTTCTAACCAACTGAGCTACCTGGCCAGAGCCTATCATGGTGAGTTTTATTACTATACACCTGGGAAAATGTGACCCTGCACGCAGATTTTTCAGGGAATAAAAGCACCCTCAAGCAGAACAAAAGTTTCCCAGGCTGCGTAACTCTGATGTAACTGAAGAGCTAGGTGGAGGAAGAATGAGTAGCAGGGAAAGAGAGAGGGCTACCTCAAGAAACCAGAAAGGATCCAGGAGGACGGGGCACACACCGGAACAGTCGCCCTGACAGCCCTCCCCGGGGAAGCAGTCTGAAGGAAAGGGCGGGACAGAGGGCGGGCCACCTACTTGTGCTCATCGTTCAGGATGTGAACCTTAAAGAGCCGAGGCTGGACCTCTTCAGGCTTGTTGTCAGCCGGCAGGGCTTCAGGGGCTGGGAGCCACATGTTGAACTCTGCCAGCCAATTCTGAAGAGTATTGACCTGTCAGAAAGCCAAGCCCAGAGAGAGAGAGTTTTAAGGAGCAAGCTCCGAGCTGAGCTCATCCAGCTTGTTAGTGCCCAGGAAGGCATTAACTCAGGGCTCTTTGGAGGGCTAACTGGAGCCTTCCCGAACTCTTACCGGCACAATGGCAAGGACCGTTTTGGCTGGCGTGTGGCGGAAGAGGACGTCAACGAAGGAGATCACTTGCAAGGTTTTTCCCAGACCCATGCTGTGAGCCAGGATACAGCCAAAGCCACTGCTGGTCTTAAACCTCTCCAAGGACTCGACCAGGTTATCATACAGGAACCGGATCCCTCCAATCTGACAAGGAACACACAGGAAGATCACTGGGCTGGCAAAGACCTGGCCTGGGTTCCCTTCACTCTGGAGTTAGTCAGGATTCGGCAAATGAGCAGACATTACACCAGACAGCTGGTGTGAACGGCTACAGGAATCTCCCTGAACCCGGACTAATCTACTGGCTGGTGATGGACTTCTTGGAGGAAACACATAAAAATATTCACCCAGTACGGTGGCCCACCCCAGGCAAGACTGCAGGGGCCAGGTCCTGACGGGGCCTTTCCCTTGGCCTTGCCTGGCTGTTTTGGCCGCTCACTGCAGGGTGGCCCATTCCACAAGGAGCCGGTCTTACTGTTAAGTTCTCACGTTGAGTTAACCTTTGTCTTTATGGAGCTTTCACTCCCTCCTCCCGCTTCCAGGCTCTGGTCAACACAAACTACTTTGCTCCCTCTGACCAGAGAGGCCCTCAGACTTCTGACTCTCACATCTCCTCTGGAGCCACAACTTCCTAACCAAAGCTCTGCTCTCCAGAAACATCTCACGGAAGAAGGCTCAAGATTACTGAGCTAAGAGATCCAGCGCGCTCTGCATGGCAGGGCAACCCCGAGGGTCTTCCCATCCCGTTCGCTGGAAGTCCCGAAGCATAGGCTGTTAGGAAGAAGGACCAGGCCTTTCCAGAAGCTGTTTGTGGTACCAAACAAGTACTTCACAGCAAGGAAGCCAATGGGGACGAAGAAGATAGTCAAGATCTGCTATACCTGATGAGGTTTCACTGCCCGAGCCAACTGCGGGGCCAGAAAAACATTCTCCTCCTCCGGGGGGTGGTTCAGGTTCACGAGCACTCGCCCCAGAGCATCGCGCTGGTTTAGGACGTCGTTCACATGGGTGCCACCCTTCTCCTCTTCCTCGTCCTCCTCACTGACAGACTCACTGCTGTCCACAATGTGCAGGGTGTCCTCCTCCCCAGAGCTCAGCTCAATCACCTCTGAGACAGTCAACAGGACAAAACAAAACAAAGCTCAGGGAGCAGAGGTTATTTACTGTCCATTGTCATAGCAAAGAGGGCGGAAACAAACGCAGGACTTGGTGTCACCCATACACATTGCTCTTGCCCAGCTTCAAGTTAAGACGAGGGAATACCTTACATTTACCAAGAAGACTCAGGGAAATTTGTCATGGACCACAAAGCGAATGAGGAGGGACTGAACTTTTCCATCAAAGGGACGGCTGAGCTCTTGGGGTGGACACTGGCCAGGAGGAAGGAAAGGCACTGCTGGCCTGATCTTACCATCTCGACTGCTTTTTTCATCCTCGCTGCCACTGCTACTGTCCAAACAAATGACTTCCTGGGCCAAGACCTGAGGAGGCAGCTGCGGACCATCACTTGCTCTTAAGACGATTTCCTCTGGGAGGAGATGAAGGGAGTGTCAGATCGCACGTGGCACAAGAGTGCTCTTCACACACTTCACCATCCCGCCCCCTCCACTGCTCTCGCTGGACTGCCCACTGAGGAGAGAGGCAGAAGGCATCTCAAACCTTCAGCCCTCTTTCCAAGTTCCCCTTTCTCCACTGCTTTTTACACCCTAATAGCCGCCTGGCCACTAGAAAAGGTCCTAACCCATTGGCATGGTAAGATCCAAGTGAAGGGGAAAAATCTACAGAACATCAACTTGAGGAGCATACTTTTCATCCATCTGAACTAATGAGAATCTTCTGACCGTGTGTTCCCAAGAAGCTGAATGGCTCGAAGGGTTCCTGAGAGGCTGCGACCTCACCAGATCTACCCTTGACCACTGTGTGCAGCTGAGGGCCTTTGCTGCCACCTGCACAGCTCACCGGGGAGAAACTCCAGGGGAACCGTGGGAATGGGAGCTGCGTAGTCCTTCCTCTGCTGCTCCAGGCGCTTCCTTCTTTCCAGCTCTTCCTGTTGTGCTGCTTTGGTAACTGGCTCCAACTGATCCTCCCGGAGCAGCTTTCTGCATGTTAAAACGAGAGAGTGCTTGGGTTCCCCTGAGACCCGGGCGAGGCAGTGTCACACTACACAGCGCGACCAGCGCTGAGCTCAGAGAGCGGAGGTGGGAGGAGAAGCCACATCAGTCCCAGGAAGCCCACGCGAGGAGCAGGCTCAGGTGGTTTGGGCCTTGTGTGTTTCCATATTAGTTAACTTCCCGACAGATGCCCCTGTCGGCTCATCTCTGCACATATCAGAACAAGAGCAAAACAGAGTAATATGTGATCCACACAGCTGAGAAGCCAATTAAAAACAGAGCTGGTATGTGGAAAGTGGGATTATGGATGATTCTCATATCCTTATTTTCCAAACTTAGAGTGGTATTTTGAAGTTATCATTATGTTTTAAAAAAGGAAAAACAAGGACAAGAGGAGAAAAAAAATACCATTTATCTCTTTGGTAGATGGAGGGGCTGTTGAGGATTTGGGTAGTTACAGAAGTTCATATCTGCTGATCTCTTCCTTTCTTTTTTATAAGGTTTTATTTATTTATTTTTAGACAGAGGGGGAGAGAGAAAGAGAGAGAAACGTCAATGTGTGGTTACCCCTCCTGTGTCCCCTACTGGGGACCTGGCCTGCAACCTAGGCATGTGCCCTGACTGGGAATCAAACCAGGGACCCTTGGGTTTGCAGGCCAGCACTCAATCTACTGAGCCACACCAGCTAAGGCCACATCTGCTGATTTCTTAGCTCAAGGAAAAAGCCCTACTTGGAACAGACAGTCCCTTGCCGACTGAAGTTGAATTGTAAGATGACAACTCAGCTTCTTTCATCTCCTCTTGTTTTGAGACATAAGGAAAAACAGAGGAAGAAACAGGGTCCAACCAGGGACCCCACTGTGCTTGGGGTCTCCGGAGCTGGAGACCTGCCTCCCTCTAGCGCGTCCTCTGCCGGCCCAGCCCAGCCCGCTGGGCCTGAGCTGCGTCTCCACTAGTCACTCAGGAGCACAGCTTACACTTTACTTTTCTCCTTGAAAAGAAGGACACTACTGCTCAAACCAGTCCTCCTGATACTTACAGCCTTCGAGTGAAGGGGACACCTCCCCTCGCCCCCAGCCCCTCCAACCCAGAGCACAGCTCACCGTATGTTTCTCCTCATGTGGGAGGGCTTCTGAGCCCTCTTCCTTTTGGGGTCCTCGGAGGCCAGGCTCTGGCCTTGGTGGTGCCTAAGCTGCTCTGAAGGCTCAGACTGAGATGAGGTAGTTGAAGTGCACCGTGGTGGCCGCTGCCCATCTTCCCCCAGAGGGACACACTCCGTGCCACACATGTCTTCCAGGGACGGGTCTAAGAAGACAAGGAGAGAGAGGTGCCAGGGACCATCTTTCACTGGGGAGGAAATGAGTTCTGAGGCCAGACACACCTGGGCTCAAACTTCCGCTCAGCAACCCCTCAGCTGGAGATCTAAGGCAAGTTACTTACATCTCTCTGAGCCTCAGCGGACGTGTCTAGAACGTGAGGGCAGTGATGCCCATGCTCCAGAGCTATTGTGAGGACTAAACAGAACACATGCCTGGCACCAAGCCTGGCCCAGGGGAGGCTCACAAAAAAAATGAGAGCCAACCATAGTCTAGCTATAATTTTGTGATTAAAGGCAGGAAGCTTCATGGCCTCAGAACGCTCAGAAAGGGATGGCTGGGTTCCAAATGCAGCTCACACGCACTTGTGTGACACCAAGAAAGTCTCATCTGCCAGCAAGGAGGAGCCTTTCAGGCCCTTCTTGTGTCCACTCATTCCATTCCCCAGCCACCTAAGGAGGGCCCACAGCCCAGCAGGCACTGTCGTAGAAGTTTCAAGGAGTACTTACACACCTCCTTCCCTTTACGAAGTTTGTTTTCTAGACAATCTGATTAAAAAATGGGCAGAGGACCTGAACAGACATTTCTTCAGAGAACATAGAGACAGCCAATATGCATATGAAAGATGCTCACCATCACTAATCATCAGAGAGATGCAAATTAAAACCACAGTGAGATATCGTCTCACACTGGTCAGAATGGCCATCATCAAGACATGAACAAACAACAAGTGCTGGCGAGGATGTGGACAAAGGGGAGCCCTTGCGCACAGTTGGTGGGAATACAGATTAGTGTAGCCACTGTGGAAAATAGTATGCAGATTCCTCAAAAAGTTAAAAATAAAACTACCTTATGACCCAGCAAATCCCACTTCTGGGTATTTATCCAGAGAAATCCAAAACACTAATTTGAAAAGATACCTGCACCCCTATATTCACTTCAGCATGACTGACAATCGCCAAGATGTAGAAGCAACCTAGTGTCTATTCATAGACAACGAGACAAAGATACAACAGAATGGGACTCAGCTGTAAAAAAGGATGAAGTCTTACCATTTGTGACAGCATGGATGGACCTAGAGGACATTATGCTAAGTGACATAAGTCAGACAGAAAAAAACAAAGACCGTAAGATTTCACTTAGATGTGGGATCTGAAAAACAAAGTAAATGAACAAACAAAACTGAAACAAACTCATAGATATAGAGAATAAACTGACAGCTGCCAGATGGGGGGAGCTTGGGGGGCTGGCTGACAAGGTGAACGGATGAGGAAGTACAAGCTGGCAGTTAGAAGACAGTCACAGGGCTGCACAGTACGGCTTAGGGGGCAGAGCTGACAATACTGTGTAGGTTCAGATGGCACGAGACTCACGGGGGGGGGGGTCACTTCCTAAGTACGTGAATGTCTAACCACTGCTGTACACCTGAAACTGACAGAATATTAAATGTCAAATGTAGCGTTAAGTTTTTCAAAAATTTTTTTAATTTTTAAAAAGATTTTATTTATTTTTATTTTTTAGACAAAAGGAAAGGGAGAGAGAAAGAGAGACAGAAACATCAGTGTGTGGTTGCCTCTCATGTGGCCCCCACTGGGGACCTGGCCCGCAACCCAGGCATGTGCCCTGACTGGGAATCGAACTGGTGACCCTTTGGTTCACAGCCCGCACTCAATCCACTGAGCTACACCAGCCAGGGTGAATTTTTTTCAATAATAAAACAAACTATTTTTAAAAGAATGCCATGTGCCAACTGCATTTGGTGTCATTACAAACACCCCATCTGAGACTGCAGACCACATCTTTGTTCCAACCCTCAGCACAAGTCAGCCACCAGACAGCCCCCACCGCCTCTGCACGCCTGCTTAGAGTTCGGCCTCACACACATCCCAGCACCTGCCAGGTTCCCAGCCCCGCGTCAAGGCACAGCGGAGTCGTCCACACGGGGAAACACAAGTACAGTGAGGTGAGTGCCTAGCAGCAACACCTGGGGAAAGGACACCTGATCCAACCCTGCTTATTAGCACTGGGTATGAGGATGCTTCCTTGGGGAAGGTAAGACCTGTGCTTAATCTAATAGAATTAGGTAGGTACCAGCTAGTAAAGGAGGAAAGAAAGAACATTCTGAGCAGCTATAGGAGCATAAGCAAAAGGAACACGCTTTAAACAAGGTGGAGCGACTAGGAAAATGCATGCCGCTCAGTGCAGGCTAATTCTAAATGAGGAGGCGCAGCAGCAGTAGGAGCCTTCCGACCCCATAGCCACCTCCCTGTCTCTCCCCAGGAGCCTTCCTGGAAGTTGGCACAGAAGTCAACCCTTGTCCCAGGAGGACTACTTCCAAGGCCTCTTCTTCCTGGCACCTATACCCCACTGCCTCAAGTTTGAGTGCGAAGGGGACGCCAAGGCGGCCACTGCCAGAGTGGAGGGCAGAGGGGACAGGTGGTGAGGACGTGCGTGCACACACGCACACACACTCACGGGTTCACCCAGGGCCATTCACTCCTCTGCAGCAGCGCTGGGAGCATCTTCTGGGCCTTTGCTCTGAGAGACCCTGAAGGTTTCAGGCAGATAACCTCTGCTTTTGAAGAGCAAAGGAGAAACAGCCAGGGGAGGCACCGGACAAAAAACACTTGTGATGGACCCTGCAATACCATTAACGGGGGCAAGAGGAGGAAACATCACAGGCCACTCTCCATTCCCACCGGATCCACAGCAGGCCTTTTCCAAAAGGCCCCCAGAGATGGCAGAGTGGGGGTGGCAGGAAGCCCAGGGGCACATCACACCTGCTGAAGAAGCAAGGTGCTGTTGCTCCGGTGTCCAAAAGACGTGAGAACTAAAGAGAAGCTCTAAGTGGAGGTGTAAGTCGGGCTAGCCGCACCCCAAATTCACCACTCCCACCCCACATTTCCTCCTGAGGCAGGCACCATAGAGGAAAGCTCCGCAATCTCTGTTTTCCTTAAGATCCGTCGTTCCTTCAGGCCGCCCCACCCTCCAAAGAGCTAATACTTCCATGGCACTGTCACCTAATGGTATTGTCACCTGCCTCCTATCACGCAGCCCTAAAAAACGAGGCCACCAAAGTCTTCCTCCCAAAGGAACAGGTGTCTGGACAGCAGGCTCCCTGACAACTGCTAACTGGCCACGTTCACCACACTGCACTTAGGCCCGCACACCAGTTACACTTGGGGCTGGGTTGGCACACTTCAACTTGGTGTTTTGGTGGGTCCTCTGGTTTTGATAATGACCTTTGATGTCCTCCTGGGCTTAAGGCCTTTTGTTTTGTTTCTGTTTCACAAGCAAATTTATTGAGTAGCCACTAGGAGAAACAGCTGGAGGCTAGGTTGTGAGAGAGAAGGCAGGTAAATCAGAACCAGAGTATAGCAGGTAGGCCAAGGAACTTGTTGCCAACTGTTGTATTTCTTTTTCCTAGTTTTTGCCTTGCAGAGTGACTGTTCCTGGGAGTAGAAAGAACAGAACCTGATAGCCTTTCAATATTACAGACAAATTCACTATCAAACATTCCAGGTGGTGAGGACTGGCTGTGAATTCCTGCTGCATGGGGCAGAACATGGCCAAGTGAGGTAGCAGTCTAAAAATGATTAGGTCCAGCATATAAAATTCACACGCACACTTAGTTCAAACAGTCCTCCCCTTTCCTTTATAAAGATGACGCAGGTCTAAACCAGCTCCTTACCACCCAGCATTCTTTGAAGGAATCCTCAGCTTCCGGGTTCAACAGCTACAGTCTGCTTGTTAGCAAGCTTTAGTTTAAGGACGTGCTAATATTGAAAGTTGCTGTCACACAAGTCAGAGTCGCACGAGTGCTCCACTGCCGCTTCATGATGCTGTGAAATGACTGGTTTCCCCACGCCATCATGCCACATCTTAAACTACTCTTAATGGTAACACTGTTGTTTTAAAATTTCTACAAATGATTTTTCCCTAAATCAAAATATAACTTTTTTTAAAAGATTTTATTTATAGAGAGAGGGGAAGGGAAGGAGAGAGGAAGAGAAACATCAATATGTGGATGCCTCTCGCACGCCCCCTACTGGGGACCTGGCCCACAACCCAGGCATGTGCCCTGACTGGGAACTGAACCGGCAACCATTTGGTTGGCAGGCTGGCACTCAACCCATTGAGCCACACCAGCGATGGCAAAATGTAACTTTCACTATGTGCTCCTTTGTACTTTCTAAATATTGAACCATGTGATTCTAAAACCTAATCAAAATAATTAAGTTTCAAGAAATAGCCCTCCCCCAAAGCCTAGATTTTAATTCACCAAGAGCCACTGAGGAAAAAAGGAGAAAAGGTTCAACAAGGAGGTAAAGAGACATGAGCTTTGTTAGGCAAAAAAGAAAACTTAGTGTCTGCATGGTTTAAAAGTCAGTGACTACTACCACACAAGTTCAGCATCATCGAGTCAGATCTGGTTGCAAATACACCCCTGAACTTTCTCTTTCACGTGAGCCAGCCCCAAGCGGTAATCACCAGAGCTATATAAACACCACTGAATACTTACACAAGCTTCTCAGGAATGAGTTATGAAAACCACCAAGACGAGTATGACTGGGCAAACAAGTGGCTTTGAAAGAAAAACCCCTGTGTCTCGTTCACTCGGTGTGCAAGGTCCAAACACTTCCAGGGCCTTTTCCCCAGCCATTGCATCCCTTCTTCCTCCTCAGCCCGTCTATGTGAACAAAGTCGGTGGGTCCCACGTCTCACCACGGGCCTTCTGGCCCGATGCAGTAGGATGAGGTGGCACCACCTGTGACGCACATGTGCCACAGCAGTGAAACCCGAATCTGAACACACCTTGGTTCCTCGGTCCAGTTTGCAAAATTACAGGACAAAGAACACTGTTAAACTTGGCAAGCAAGACCACAGGGGTGTGATCAACAGAATCTAGAAAGGCGCAAAACTACAGAACAAGTGAATCCTTTAATTCTACAAATAGTTGCAAGGAAAAAAGAAAATGAAAAAGAGCTA